AGACGTCAATAATGCTTCAGCCATAGATGGGCTCCTTGTAGCATTTGGGATAGAAGGCCTGGGAATAGTACTGCTCATAGTCTGAAACATGAGGTTCTTCGACTTGAGATGAAATACGTCTTGGAATACCCTCCTTTGCAGGCCATTCTCGGCAGCAACAGCAGCAACAGCAGGTATAATCGCACTGTCCCGGCGAACCAGAATCTGCGTGTCCGTAAACAGCATGGATCTGTCGTCCATATTGATCCAAGATGTTCCCTCCTCCTCACATGGCCGCAGCATCCCAGTTTGCTGCTTTCCACCAATAATGTCCTCACCAAGGCCTGGCGCCTCGGGAATGCCGATGGGGATGTTTTGTTGGCTGTGGCTCTTGGTCATCTTCCGACCAGCGGCGGCTCTGCTCCTGAAACTCCACGACTTCAGCTGAGACAACTTGTTGATCATAGATGGCTTGGATTCAATGGCCGATGCTCGGCGACTTTCAGTGATTGGGCCCGCCATGATTGATTGGGAAGGCACGACGAAAGAACAATGTCGGCCTTGGTTACAGTCCGCGGTATCATCAATCGTCAAGTCGTCCAGGGCTTCAAGCTCTTGAAGAATCCGGTTGGTGGAAGTACGTCCACCATCTTGTCGTCGCGATGGGACCACAGGCGCGCCGCCTCGCGAAATGCCACTCCTGCTTCCACGCAGCTCGCACGTGCTCGTGGTTCTCAAAATGAACCCCGTCTCTTCCACAAGCGGCACTCCCTCCTTCCACTCCTTGGGGGGAGAGCTGCGCGTTTGACCGTGATGGCACGAAAGCGGAATCCTGCCTTCCGACAAAGGAGGAGAATAAGGCGATAGCGTTGAATGCGGAGAAACCGGGCTGAATGTTCCAAGAGGTCGCGGCGATCTCCTGCTTCTCGGGTCGCGGCCCGAGCGGTGCGGAGGGCTTTTAGACGTCACTTCGGAAGCATGCGGAATGGACGCAGGGGCGCTGGTGCTGGGCAGGGTTTGCGACTTGCGGAACAAGCTCGGCGACTGCAACGACGGCGGCGACGTTAGCGACGAAACGTCCACCGTCACGGTCGCCGCTGATCGTAGACGGTGTGTCTCTTCAATGAGGTAGTATGTTCGGCCGGGTTTGAGGAGCGCGGCGGGTGGCAAGGGGGTGCGCGGCGTGGCGGTACTGAGGGTGGAGAGGAGCAGGTGGACAAAATGTTTGTTGAACGAAACTCGTCAATGACATCTTTGGCCCTGTTCGGCAGCACTTTTGCTGCCATGCACTTCTCACCAGCAATCGAACAAACCTGAACGACAAGCCAGCCTCGGTCCGAAGCTAGGCTTACTACAGAACAAAATCAACGTGGGGAACTGTTCTACTCTTCCAGCTGTGCAACCAGACGCACAAACGTGGGGCTGCTCCCGCCTGTTGCACACAACAGACAACACCCCAGATGGCCAAACTTCGAACCCAACAACCACAATCACCAGTTCCTTGCTTCGAGGAACCTGGGCAAAAAATTCCAGGAAGGAGCACATTTTGTGCTCTGGCCAATAGGCTCTCTGCATAACTCTCACAATGAACCAACAACCGTTCTCACCCACGTCAAAACCAGGATCAGCACTGGACAGAAAGCCAACCGGTAATGAACACGGATTTGCCCGTGAATTACTGTGCAAGCTAGAAAGCTGTTTGCCAAGTGTTTTTCATTGTGGTTGCACATCCTCGCTAGAAAGCTGCATGGTTTTAACAAGTTAATATCTCGAAGTAGGCTGGGACATGTGGAACATTAGAGTACAAAAGTAGCACATTTTGGGGTCTCTGAAGGCGCTCATCGGGGTGGCGTTACAACGGGCGCAAGCTCGTGTCATCCTGCTTCGGGCGGCGTCTTCCATGGGGGGGGTGAATGTGGATTTGGTGGACCAGGAGAGGGACGACGTGGAGGTGGAGGGCGGGGCTCTTTGGGTGGAGGCCCCGTACATGGTGGATGCACAGATTTGATTGAGGTTGGGTGAAATGGGGAGCGGGATGGGGTATCTTGATGGGGCGCCTTGACTGGGTGTTTTGATTGGGTAACTTGATGGGGTTTTTATGTGTGTTGCATTTGGGTTTGATTTTTTGGCAGTTTCACTTTCATACTTTTGTAGGAAAATGAAATGTGTAAATTGAAACACCAAAACAAAAAAGTAGCACATATATGCTATTTAGTTAGAATGATCATGGTATTCAACCCAATATCGGCTCATTGTAGCATCTGGGATACAAGGCCTGAGATAGTAGTGCTCAGAATCCAGAGCGTGGGGTTCTTCCACTTGGTCTGGTAGCCTTCTCGGGAATACCTTTGCTCCAGCGCCGATCACGGCAGCGCGAGTAGGTGTAGCCGCGCTGGCATCCGCTTGAATAACCTTCCGGCTAACCAGAATCTGCGTATCCGTGAACATCATGGTTCTGTCGTCGAGATTCTTCCAGAAGGCTCCCTCCTCTTCACAATGGCTTGGCGTCGCCATGTGATGCCCTCCGCTGACAATGCTTCTGCCGAGATCTGGAAATTCGGCTGTGCGGATGGACATGTTCTTTTGGGTCTGACTCTTGTTTATCTTCCGACTGGGTGCGCCTCTGCTCCTGAAACTCCACGATTTTAGCTGAGGGAGTCTGTCAATTATGGACGGCTTAGACAGGATGGACGATGTTCGCCGAGTCGCTGTAATAGGCTCTGCCGAGATTGGTGAAGGCGATCGGAAAGGAGACTGGTGGTCGCGGGTATCGTACGCGGAATCATTGGTCGTCATGTCGTCAAGAGCTTCGAGCTGAAAACACGGCATGGGGGAACGACAACGGCGGTTAGGGTTTTCGTTTTATTAAATTAATTTGTCTGAAAAAGGAAACGTTGAACATCGGGAAGAAAGAATAAAACGAAATCATAAAGGCTGGGTAAAACTAACCTCTTGGAGAATGCGGTTGGCGGTATGTCCATCGTGTCGCCGCGATGGGAGGACACCTGCGGTCGCATCGTATCCTGATTGCGAACTATTGGTCCCACCAAGCTCGCACGTGCTCGTGCTTCTCAAAATGCACCTCTCCCCGACTCCCTCATTCCACGCCTTCGGGGGAGAGCTGCGCGTTTGACCATGATGGCAATCCAGCGGAATCGCGCCTTCGGACATAGGAGGCGAATAAGGCGATAGGGTCGAAAGCGGGGAAACCGGGCCGTAAGTTCCGGGAACTCGCTGCGTGCCGATACCCCGGCCCGTTGTTTGCGGAGGGTTCTGATGCGACTCGGCATGGGGGGACGCGAACACTGGGCTAGTGGAGTGCAGAGTTTGCGATTTGCGAAACACGCTCGGCGAGAATTGAGACGATGACGGCGACGTTGGCGACGAAACATCAACCGCCACTCTCGCCGCCGTTCGCGGACGGTGCGTTTCGACAATGAGGTAGTATGTTCGGCCAGGTTTGAGGAGTGTGGCGGGTGGTAAGGGGGTGCGCGGCGTGGCGGTAGTGAGGGTGGAGAGGAGCAGGTGGCGGGGGAAGTCGGCGAGCACTGTCGACGCCGTGAGACGCGCGTCGTCGTAGAGGCGCGCCGAGCCATCTGGAAGCAGAACAACGACGCACGGCGGGGCCGAGTCGGCCTTGGCTTGCTCCATCTTTGCGAGGTACAGTATCGGGAGTCGGGATGAAGCAGTAGAAACGAGAAGCGACGGAGACAGCTGACTGTTTACGATTCTAACAATTGAAATTCGCTATCAAGGGAAATGATTGAGTTCAGCTCATGCCTTGGTTGGTGTGAGAGATCAGTGGTGCTTTATCTGCAGGATACCCCACTCGCTGGGAAAAGGGAACTCTTGCTGACAGCGTCAAGGCACGAGGACGACGACACGACGAAGCTGCGCCACGAAGCATTTCCCTCACTCACAGAAACCGGACTTTCCGCGTGAGCAACAGGTGAAGCGAAGTGACGACGTTTGTCGTCATCCTTGCTAGGGGCACCATGCCAATTCTTCAACGGGTCGCACCGCGTCGCAAACAGCTGGAGCTGCAACGGAACAGCTCAAGCTAGTTTGGCTCCTAGTACAACACGCGGAAGAAGCTTGAAAGTTTCGCGAAAATCTTCGTCAGGCCTGCTACGTGGCAAGGTCCGCAATAGCGAGGCTTGTGGCTTGCTTGGGGGGGGGAAAGGCAACACCACCACCTCAGTCGTGTTGTCGTCGAGCGTAAACTTGACCATCGCAGAAGCTTATTCTGACGGCTGCTGTGCCGGTCAAATTGCTGGTTTGGCTCGTAGTTCTACCACTCAGCAATATGCGAGTTGTTGCGACTTCGTTCTTCCTTGCTTCGAGCAACGGTGTTTTTGTCGCCGGTCGTCATCTTTTATCCGCTTTTCGCATTTCAGCGTTCGCACAAAATTGGTTCTGACGGCTGCCGTGCCGGTCAAACCGCAGGTTGGACGATAGTGGTGCAAATTTGCCGTTTGCGACCTGTTGCGAGTTTGGGCTGTTTGACATATTGTGGGACAGATTTGCCATTTGCGACGTGTTGCGAAATAGGACTGTTTGACCATTTGTGGAACAGATTTGCAACTTGCAATGCCTTGCGAAGGTGCGATAATTGACCAATTGGATGGCGTTTCTAGACATTTCTCCATAGCGTCGGTTGGTCTTGTCACGCTTCGGCTTCAACTCGACTTCCCCCCCTGCAACTCGAATCGACACGTCAGTCAGTCATGGCGGTTGTGTCTTCAAACGAAACGCGACGAAACCGCTTCTGTCACACGCAACCGCCAGGGTCTAGCTCCCGATAGAGAGGTATTCGAGTATCCTGTTATGGGCGACCTCGGAAATCACGGCAGGCAAAGTGCAGTAGTGTAGTGACAACAACCATTTGAGTTTAGGTACACCTATGTAATTCACTGTTATTATGCTCCTTCAATGCACTACTCTCAGCATTCTTTGTGGCAGTGACAACCCGTGAGCTTGTCTCCCCTCCTGATACTGCTATTACAGCAGCAACTCAAGCCTCACCCCAGCCAGGTAACTGTGCCCCGACCCCCCCCACCCCCCACCCCCTTCCTGATACTAATCGCCTCGCCCTCGTAATGCCGCTGCAGGCGCTCAAAGGCAGTCACATCCAGCCGGCCGGTGCCACCCCGTCCCGCCCCGTGCTTCCGCTCGTGCTGCTGCTGCCTCACACTCGTCCACAGCGCCTCGATTGCCGCCCGCTGCCGCCCGGTGAAGTGCCGCCGGTGGTCGTAGGCGTGCTGAGCCAGCATGTCTATGGCCGTCTGGGCCCTGGGGGGTTGAACGGGGGGAAAGAAGCACAGGCAGAGCAGTCAAGGGGAGCCTCAGGTCCCATCAAAACACGGCCGGTGGTCGTAGGCGTGCTGAGCCAGCATGTCTATGGCTGTCTGGGCCCTGGTGGGGGGAGGAAGGAAGCAGACGCAAAAGGGAAGGCGGGATAAGGGAAGAGCAGTGAACGGGTGCCTCAGGTCATTAGATAGGCGGCCTGTGGTCGTAGGTGTGTTGAGCCAGCATGTCTATGGCTGTCTGTGCCCTGGGGGTTTGAACGGGGGGAAAGAAGCACAGGCAGAGCAGTGAAGGGGAGCCTCTGGTCCCATCAACACACGGCCTGTGGTCGTAGGCGTGCCGTGCCAACATGTCAATGGCCGTCTGGGCCCTGGGGGGAGGGGAAAGGAAGCACATGCAGACGGAAACGAAGGATAAAGGAATCATGTCCCATCAAGAGTCAGGTCTCATCAAGAATCAGGTCTCATCAACACACGGCCTGTGGTCATAGGCATGCTGAGCTAGCATGTCAATGGCCGTCTGGGCCCTGGGGGGTGGAGGAAGCAAGCAGACGCAAAAGGGAAGGCAGGAAAAGGGAAGAGCAGTGAAGTGGAGCCTCAGGTCCCTCCCATCAACACACAGCCGGTGGTCGTAGGCGTGCTGCACCAGCATGTCAATGGCCGTCTGGGCCCTGGGGGGGGGCAGCGAGGGGGGGGGAGGAGGAGGCAGATGCAGAAGGTGAAAGCAGCATAAAGGAAGAGCATTGAAGGGGCGCCTCGGGTCCCATCAATGCGTTGCTTGTGGTCGTAGGCGTGCTGAACCAGCATGTCAATGGCCGTCTGGACCCTGGAGAGTACAGGGAGGAAGATGGGAAGAACAGGTAAGAAGGACGTGTATGCAATTCTTCTGATCTTCTGACATTTTCCAGTGCTTAGGTTTAGGCTTAAGCAAATAGGAAAAAACAGTTGTAATTCTAACACTAGCTAATAGCCGAGAGTCTGTGAAACCGGAAGAGTACAGGGAGGAAGATGGAAAGCACAGGTAAGAAGGACGTGTATGAATTGTAGCACATATGCAAAAGAAGCACATGTGCAAATCTACAGCACGTGCAAACTCTAGAGCCCTAACTCCCACTCACCACTTGCGCTCACCGTCTGTGAAAACTCTAGCCCTTCAACTCGCAACCCCCACTTTCGAGTCGACCCAAAAATCCTCCCAACCACCACATATGCCTCAACTAATATTTTTTCCCACTCACCACTTGTGCCGATACATCTCTGTAACAGTCTGAATGCACAGCAGCAGAGCCTCCCTCCTCTCCCCCTAGCTCTCACCACCTGTGCAAACCAAACCTCTGACCCTAAACAACCACTCACCACTTGTGCCGGTACATCTCTGAGGCGGTTTGAATGCACAGCAGCAGAGCCTCCCTCCTCTCCCTCAACATCCTCCTCTCCTCCTCCTCTTCCAGCCTCCGTGCCTCCTCCTCCTCCCTCCTCCTCCTCTCCCTCTCCTCTCTCCTCTTCTGCTCCCTCATAGCCTGCTTGCTTTTTATTATCTCGCCCAACCCAAACGGATCCTCCTCCTCCTCCTCCTCCTCCTCCTCCTCCTCCTCTCCCTCCTCTCCCTCACCTCCTTTCCCGCCTCCCTTTCCCCCACTTAAACCCAACATGGAATCTAATCCAAAGGGGTCTGCATCAGCATCTGCACCAGTACCTGCAGCAACATCTGCAGCATTTGCATCATCGCTTCCTTTTTCCTCCTTGTCCTCCCGTCTCTCTTCCCCACCCTCTTCTCCCCCATCCCTGTTCTCTCGATGCTTGCTTTCCTTGTGCTTCACACTCTCATCCTCCTTCCCTCCCCCCTTCTCTTCCCTTTTTTCCTCCCCCTTCTCGTCCCTCTTCTCTCCCTCTCCCTCTCCCTCCCCCTCCACACCCCCCTCTCTGCTCTGCACCTGCATCGCCACCCCTGCAAACATCCCTGCCTCATGCCTCTCATCCTCCTATGCTGCTTCTGGCAATCGCTCCACCTCCTGCTGCACTCGAGACACCGCCCTGGAGAACTGGAGGAGAGGGGAGGAAAAGAGGCAAGGGGAAGGGGGGGGGGGAGGGGAAGCGAGAAAGGGGGTCAGGGGAGATTGAAGTGCTTCTGGCAGTCGCTCCACCTCCTGCTGCACTCGAGACACGGCCCTGGAGAACTGAGGGAGTTGAAGGAGGTGGGAAGGAGGGAAGGGGGGAAAGGCAAGGACGGGGAGAAGGAGAGCTTGAAGTGCCTCTGGCAGTCGCTCCACCTCCTGCTGCATCCGAGACACCGCCCTGGAGAACTGGGGCGGAGAGGGGAGGTTAAGAGGCAAGGGGGGAGGGGAGGAAGCGAGAAAGGGGGGCAGGGGAGATTGAAGTGCCTCTGAAATTTGCTCCACCTTCTGCTCCACCCACGAGCATTGAGGTAGGCGGCTCAAAAGGTGCTTCTGGCAATCGCTCCACCTCCTGCTGCACTCGAGACACCACCCTGGAGAACTGGAGGAGAGGGGAGGAAAAGAGGCAAGGGGAAGGGGGGGGGGGGAGGGGAAGCGAGAAAGGGGGTCAGGGGAGATTGAAGTGCTTCTGGCAGTCGCTCCACCTCCTGCTGCACTCGAGACACGGCCCTGGAGAACTGAGGGAGTTGAAGGAGGTGGGAAGGAGGGAAGGGGGGAAAGGCAAGGACGGGGAGAAGGAGAGCTTGAAGTGCCTCTGGCAGTCGCTCCACCTCCTGCTGCATCCGAGACACCGCCCTGGAGAACTGGGGCGGAGAGGGGAGGTTAAGAGGCAAGGGGGGAGGGGAGGAAGCGAGAAAGGGGGGCAGGGGAGATTGAAGTGCCTCTGAAATTTGCTCCACCTTCTGCTCCACCCACGAGCATTGAGGTAGGCGGCTCAAAAGGTGCCTCTGGCAATCGCGCCACCTCCTGCTGCACTCGAGACACGGCCTTGGAGAACTGGAGGGGAGGGGGGAGGTGAGGAGGAGAGAAGGGGGAGGGGGAAGGAGGAGGTGAGTCTTGAGTGCTGTGGTTGAATCCCAAAGCCCCTTACCTGTCACACCCCATGAGTCCCCCCACCTGCTACCCCCCACCTGCTACCCCCCACCTGCTACCCCCCTCACCTCCAAGCTGCCGCCACCTGCCTTCATGCCCACAGCTCCCCACCTGCACGCCCACCTGTTTCCCGTCTCCCCACCTGCCCCCCACCTGCCCCCCCACCTGCCCCTCCACCTGCCCCCAACCAGTTCCCCCACCTCCCACCCACCTGAAAGCTGTCGTCGGTTCGCAGGGATTGGGTCAGCACAAAAGCACAGTGCCGCACAGCACCGCACAGCACAGCTCAGCACCACACAGCACAGCTACCCTCCCCACCTGAAAGCTGTCGTCGGTGCGTAGGGATTGGGTCAGCACTGTGCGCATTCCCCACACCTCCACCTGCTGCTGCTGCCATGGCGAAAACAGCTGCACGCGCGGGTGGGGCAGGGGGGCGAGGGGAAGGGGGAGTGGGGCGAGCGGGGAGGGGGGGTTTGGGGCGAATGAGGGGGGTGGGGGGATGGGGGCGAGTGAGGGGTCGGGGTTGGCAAATTGTGTCTTATTGTTTTTGGACAAACGTTTAGCTTGGCCCAACCATGGCCCTCTACCCAGGCCACTATGAGCACACAACCATTTCCCCTGCCCACCTCTCCCCCTCTCCCACGCACCTCCTTCCTCTCCACAGCAGCGCCAATCAGCGCAGCATACTCGCCCCCAACGTCCCCCGCTGCCCCCACCACCATGCCCCCCGCCCCCCCCCCTCTCTCTCCGCAGCAACCCCATTGCTGCCTCCAATACTCCAAAGAACAACTCCGCATGACCGCTCTCCACCGCACTGTTTGCTGAACTGTTCATTCCACTGTTCATAGCACTGGTTGCGGCACTGTTCAGTGCGCCGCCCTCCAGAAGCTGCCGAGCGAGGCCGGCCGCCTTCTTGAACTTGGCCGGCGTGCCGATGTGGGCGGCGATCTTGGCTATCGCTGACGTCACCTTGTCCTCTGCCACCTCAGCAAACGTGTGGAAGCGCACTCGCCGGCGCGGGGGGGCTGCAACGGGGGAGGGAGGAGAGGAGGGGGGGGGGGGGTGGGAGGGGAATGGGGGAGAAGTGGCGAGAAGAGAGGAGGGGGGTGGGGAAGAAAGGATGACAGAAGGGCGGATAAAGGGGGAAGAAAAGGGGATGGGGAGGCGGGGTTGGTTGGGCGATGAAGCAGGCGCTTGGGCCTTGCGGGGGCCTCTGAGAGGGGGAGGAGGGGAATGCGGAAATTAGGATTAGAAATGCAGAAATGTAAGAGATTAGGATTACGGAAACCGAAACAAAAAATGGGGAAAATCAGGGTTAGGGAACAGCAGGGATAGGGGGGAAGTGGGAGCCAGAAGCGGGCAGGACAGCAACGGCGACATGCAACCCTAATTCAGCGCAGTCAGCAAACCAGGTCACACAAAGTCAACGGCGGTCAACGGCGGTCAACGGCGGTCAACGAAGTCTGCAGCATCCATACCGTCGCCATCTGCCTCGTCCGCCACAGCCACCCCCACGCGCTTCCTAGTCTTTCCGCCTTCCCCCGATCCCCCACCCGCGTCCCCGGCGCTGACATTCCCCGTCCCCTCTTCACCCCGCGCATCCGTTCTCCCTTTGAGTGACGACTTGAGTGCAGACGACTTTGGCGCAACCGACGCGGGCCGTTCAGCCGGAGTTGACGTTGACGGCGCGTGGTTGGCGCGAGTCGGTGGCTTGGGAGCGTTCGACGGCGGAGGCAAGTCGCCGAAGAGACCCATAGCGATACCCGCGGCGGTAGAAAAAAAGGAGGAAAAAGAGAACACGATTCGACGGGAATGCTGTTGGGTGACGAGTGCGTAAGGCGAAAAAGGCTGAGGAAAGGGCGTGCCGACGCAGAGGATTGAACTCTGGACCTTCTGTTTACAAGACAGATGCTCTACCACTGAGCTACACCGGCTTGTTGATGCGATGCATCATGCTTTATAACCACTTATACTTTTAGCCCACACTGCTTATAGGACGTTTGCCAAAGTATATGGACTCGATTTTTACCAGATACTTTGTTATCGATGCGTTCAATGTGGGAGCACGACATACCCATGCCATCATTCAATGCGCGCGTGTCTGCCAGGCTCGTACCCTCCCGCTGATTCTCCGACGCGTAGTGCGCACCCCGCTCGCCATGCATGCGTCGCGTGACAGCTCATCACCCCCGCGCTGCATCGGCGTTAGTAGCCGAGGCGCGGCATCGAGCCGCCATGAGTCGTGTTCGCTCATGCCGTCGCCTTTCCCATCGTCCCTCCTCCGCCTTTCCACCCGCCACCACTCCCCCCATCTTCCGCCCTTTCCCCACCTCGTCCTCTCCGAATTCCTCTACAGAATCGGCGGAGGGCCGGAGCCTCCCCTCGTCCGCGCAAGCATCCAGCGAACCGCCCGCAGGCTCCGCCCCTCCCGGTTCGCGTCTAACTTTCTCCCTTCCGCGCCATGAAACGCTGGCAACTGAAGCGGAAACGGCAGCTTTTTACAGTGCTGGGGAAGAGGGGAACGTTGCGGGGACGTTGGGGGAGGAAGGATTATGGTGGGGCGAAGGGAAGGGTGTGTGTTTTCTTCGAAGTAAGGTGTTTTGAATCTGGTATCCATACTCGAAGCGTCATCCTCTGATCGCTGCATTCACGCATTGACTGGAGGCACGTCTGAGAGTCGGTCGTTAGGAAGCGCGACGTGCAAGCGTTGGAATCACAGAGCAGTGTGGGAAGAGCGGAAGGAGGAAGAGGGGGCTGATTTTTAGGAGTGAATAGCGCAGCGAGCGGAGGGCGCGGGCAAAAAGCGCGAGCGGAGATCGCTAGCGGAAAACGCGCAAGGCGGCATGATGGGGTCGTTGGTGCTCCACACCCCCTCGCATCTCGCCTCTACGCCTCTCGTCGGCCCTCCCGCTGCAGCCGTCGCAGCTGTCGCTTTCCTTCCCCAGCGACGGCGCGGTCGCGCGGTGGGGTCCAAGCTGGCGATCCGTCGCACAGCCGCTACGACTGAGCGCCCTGAGCGGGCTGAGCGGTCTGGGAGCGCTGAGCGCGCGACAGAAGGTGGATGGCGAGATCGGCTTTTGTTCTGATCGAACGGCGAGGGTTGGTCGCCTGAGGGGCGGTGGTGGATTAGCGGCGCGATGCCTGGGACAGAGAGCAGAAGGGGGAGGAGAGAGCGCTGACGTGGCAGATGGGGAGACGACAGCTCAGCTGGAAAAATCGCCTGTGAGTATCGAGAGTTAAGGGTTTTAAACCCACCCGATGGAGTCAACGCTTTCACATTCAGCCCCTCTCATGCTATGATTCAATTAGCCCCTCTTTCAGATGGCCTCATCGCCTCGCGCCTGTCTCCATTCTCCATATTTTCCTTTCTTCTGTGGCGAATAGCAGCATGCCACGTGGTGCCAGGCACAAGGCACTCTCTCACCCTTCCTTCCATCCTCTCCCACTCTCCTGTCCGTCTTCTGTTACCTTTCCCCCTCTCCTCTTCACTTCACATCTTCCCCCACCCCGCTCTCCCCCGCTCTCCCCATCTCCTCCCCGCCCCTCCTTCCCGTGCAGCTGGCGGACGAATCAGTGGCTGCCACGTGTATCAACGCCATCCGCATGCTGGTGGTGGACGCGGTCAACGCGGTCAACGCGGGCCACCCCGGGTCCGCCATGGGCCTCGCGCCACTTGGCGCGCTGCTATTCGCCGAGGAGATGCGCTTCGACCCCGCCGATCCCGCGTGGCCCAATCGCGACCGCTTCATCCTGAGCAACGGCCACGTGTGTCTGCTGCAGTACTGCCTGCTGCACCTCACGGGGTATAATCTCCAGGTGAGTTGAGCTGGGCGGCCTCGTGCTGCATCTGACTGGGTACAACGTTCAGGTGGGTGCATGTTGCCACGTGTGTGTGTCTGCTGCAGTACTGCCTGCTGCGCATGACTGGATATAACTTTCAAGTGAGGTGCAGTGCACACGTGGACATCATACGTCCAGGTACATGTGGCCACGTGCGTCTTCTACTGCACCTTACAAAGTATATTATTTCGGTAAGTCTGGCTGGCTGGCCTTGTGTTCCTCCTGAATGGCTACAGCGTTATCACCCTCGAGTTTTGAGTCGACTCAAAACTCGGTTCCTACTGACTGGCTACACAGCGTTATCACCCTCACCTCCAAACCCTTCCTGCCAACCGCCCCCGCCCCTACATCCCCGGTGGCAGATGGGGGACCTGAAGCGCCTGGCGAAGCTGGGGAGTAAGACTCGTGTGAGGCGTCTCAAATGCACCCTTGCCAACCTCCCGGTATCCCTGCCAACTCCTTGGTATCCTGGCCAACCGCCCCCTACCCCCGGTGGCAGATGGAGGACCTGAAGCGGCTGGCGAAGCTGGGGAGCAAGACGCCTGGGCACCCCGAGAACACTCTCACTCCGGGGATAGAGGTCACCACAGGTGGGGCGGATGGGATGGGTAGTGTTTGTGTCCGAATTTATGTGGTGACGTTGGTGACCTCTATTCCTGGTGTTTATTCCTCCCTGTCCTTTCGTCCCTGGTTCGAGTCGAGTTGTGAGAAGCCCCCAAGAACTTTCTTCGCTTCCACCTTCCATTCCTGCCTCCCTGCAGGCCCCCTGGGGCAGGGATTTGCGAATGCGGTGGGGGTGGCGGCAGCCGAAGCGCACCTGGCTGCTCGCCTCAACTCCGTTGACTTCCCTGACCTCATTGACCACCACACGTGAGTGCCATTGATCAGTCCACATCAGCAGTTTTGTGAGTCGGACTTAAAAGTATCACTTGGCTGGCTGCTCGCCTCAACACCCTTGACTTCCCTGACCTCATTGACCACCACACGTGAGTGTGACCTCACACATTGACTTGACACACCAGCTCGTCTGTGCTTCTCGGTGCTTCTCGGTGCGGTCTGACGCCGCCATTGCCTCCCCCCCTGTGCTGCCATATGTGCTTGCTGCTACCGTCTTTTGTGTCGTCTTGAAAGCGTGATCGTAACTACAAGCATTGGCTCGTCTCGGCTCGGCTGTGCTTCTCACGGCATCGATGCCTTGCCTCCTCCCCTGTGCTGCTGCCTGTGCTGCTGCCTGTGCGCCTGTCGTCCAGGTTCGTTGTATTTGGCGACGGCTGTGCGATGGAGGGCGTGGTGAACGAGGCAGCGTCACTGGCGGGCCACTGGGGGCTGGGGAAGCTCATCGCCTTCTACGACTCCAACCAGGTGCGGTGTGGGATACAGCTGGGTGTGGGTGCACATTCTGCCTTGAACCCCCAGGTGAATTGGTTTGAATGGAACGGGCGGGTTAGTTATGGTCAAATGGGTCATTAGGGAGTGGCAGCATCACTGGCGGGCCACTAGGGGCTGGGCAAGCTCATCGCCTTCTATGACTCTAACCAGGTGGGGGATACATCAGGGTGTGGGTGCACCTGCTGCGTTGAACCCCCAGGTGAATTGGTTTGAATGGAACGGGCGGGTTAGTTATGGTCAAATGGGTCATTAGGGAGTGGCAGCGTCACTGGGGGGCCGCTGGGGGCTGGGCAAGCTCATCGCCTTCTATGACTCCAACCAGGTGTCATGGCTGCAGTTGGGTTGAAACCTCAGGTGAAAGGATGTGGGGTCAGATGGGTCAGTAGGGAGTAGCAGCATCACTGACAGGCCACCGGGGCCTGAGCAAGCTCGGCGTCTTTTTGTATCTCCAAGGTTTATGGTTGTTGTGCTGCAGCCTGCTGATACTAGCTGTGAGACTGCTTCTGCAACTCGTGCTCGTGGTGCTCATACTCGTACTAGTGGAGGCTGCCTGCACTAGTACGAGTACAAGCACCAGTCGCACGAGCACGAGCACGATTTGCAGCAGCAGTCTCACACCCAGAATCAGCAGCACTACTTGAAACCTAAACCCTTGATATTCTATTTGAATGTTGAATTTTGTTTAGGCCTCCGCAGCCCACCTATACGCCACTGGCACGTGCTCGATCGCTCTTGAGACTTCTTACTCTCGCCTTCCACCCCTCATCCCCTTCTCCCCGCCCCCCCCCCCCTTCCCCACCCCCCCCCAGGTCACCATAGACGGCAGCACGGCCCTCGCCTTCTCAGAGGACGTCCTGGGCCGATCTTTGAGGCGTCTCACATTCCCCCTTCCCCCCGTCACCTTCACCTCTCCTCCCTTTCCCTCCCCCCCCAACAGGTCACCATAGACGGCAGCACGGCCCTCGCCTTCTCAGAGGACGTCCTGGGTCGCTTCGCCGCGCTGAGGTGGCACGTGCAGCGAATCACACTCCACGACGCCGCTGACCTGGACGCTCTTCGCACCGCCATACAAGCCGCCAAGAGTGAAACCCACAGGCCATCAGTCATTCAAGTGGACACGGTGATTGGGTTTGGTTCGCCCAAGAAGCAGGGCACCAGTGCGGCCCACCATGGGGCGTTTGGAAAGGAGGAGACGGAGGCCATTAAGAAGGAGCTGCACTGGCCTTACAACGAGCCATTTACTGTTCCCGAGGAGGTTTACAGGTGAGACCCACCGGCCATCAGTCATTCAAGTGGACACGGTGATTGGGTTTGGGTCGCCCAGCAAGCAGGGCACGAGTGCGGCCCACCATGGGGCGTTTGGGCCCGAGGAGACTGAGGCGATCAGAAAGACGCTCAAGTGGCCCTACAGCGAGCCGTTTACTGTTCCCGAGGAGGTTGACAGGTACGTGGGGAGGGGAGGCCCATGGCCTTTGCTGTGAGGTCGTTGAGTCCTGTCTCTTGATTGTACCTGCTGCTGTCAGGCACTCTGTTTAGCTATCGTACCACTACGATACCTAGTTGTTCGGTTATAGCTTTTTCTGTTGCCCTGCGATCCAACACGCCTGCCACCTCTTTTAGCATCAAAGAAACCCACCATACATAAAGTACAAGCTCAATAACCCTCCCCCTCCACACCCACCCTCTGTCAACCCCTTTCTTCCCCCTTCCAAACTCTCCCTCTTATCTCCTACCTCCGTCCTCATGCCAATCAGGGTCATGCATCAGGCGGCTGCGCGCGGCCAATCAGCGGCTGCCAGCTGGAGGGATCGGGCGGCGCAGTACCGCCAGCGCCACCCGGACCGGGCGGCGCTTTTGGACGCACTCACGGTGCCTGGGCGGCTGCCAGCTGGCTGGGAGGACTCGCTGCCGGTGAGAGAGGGTGGAGGGTGGGGAGGGGGAGCAGATAGGGGAGAGGGAGGAGAAGGGAGGAGAGGAGGGGAGGGAGAAGGGGTGTGTTTTGGGGAATTTCTCGAAAATACCCTCCTAACGCCACAAGGGTACTCCATAGTGTGCCTCAGTGCATCGTGCCCTCGCCTCCTCCTCCTCCCCCTTCACTTTGCATCCCTCCCCGTTCCTCCCCTCCACCCCCTCCACCCCCTCCACCCCCTCTCAGCACTCCTCCCCATCAAACCCACCTGACGCCACGCGACGCGAGGCCACTCTTAGGCGTGCCGGAATGTATTCGTGCCTCCTATCTCCCTTTCGCTCCCTCCTCTCCAGCACCAGCACTTCGAACCAGCAACTCCTCCTGATGCTTTTTTAGGCGCCTCAAAAACCGCGTGAACTGAGACGATTTCTGAGGCGCCTCGTGCCGCCTATCTCCCTTTCCCCCCCTCCACTCCAGCACTTCGAACCAGCAACTCCTCCCGATGCTACGCGTGGTTACTCAGAGGCGTGTCTCAACGGCCTCGTGCACTCGCTGCCCAACCTGCTGGGCGGCAGTGCTGACCTGGCATCCTCCAATAAGGTGAGGCAGTGCTGACGTGGCGTCCTCCAATCAGGTGAGGCAGTGCTGACGTGGTGTTGAGATAACATGCAAGAGACTGCCAGCATGAGCCCACATTGTTTTAACCAACCGCCTCCCTCCCCTCATCACCCCTTTTCCGCGGCCGCCTCATCCTCCCTCCCCTCATTCCTCCTCGCGCACACACCCCTCCTCCACACCTCGCCCTCTAGGTGACATTCCACGGGCTACCAGTCTTCTCCCGGGAGTGCTTTCAGGGCCGCAACTTCCTTTGAGGCGCCTCAAAATTCGTCTTTCTACCCGCAACCATGCAATCCCTCCCTCTCTCTCCACACCTCGCCCTCCAGGTGTCATTCCACGGCCTGCCGGACTTCTCCCGGGACTGCTTTGAGGGGCGCAACTTCCACTACGGTGTGCGCGAGCATGCCATGGCTGCCATCAGGTGAGACGAGAGCACGCTGGGACAAACTGTTCAGCATGAGGTGAGGGTGGTGCCGCAGTGGTGCTTTGAGGGCCGCAACTTCCCCTCGGTGAGCGCGAGCATGCCATGGCTGCGATAAGGTGAGACGCGGGGACATGAGGGCATGGCGGGCATCAGGTGGCATGAGATGCTCATCCCATCCCAAAACCCCACCCCGCCCCACTCCCAGTTATTTTTCCTCAACCCTCTTCCTTCAACCTGCCTCCCATGGCTCTCTCCCCCTCTTAGCAACGGGCTTGCCCTGCACTCACGAGCGCTCATCCCAGTAGCAGCCACCTTTCTTGTTTTCCCACCAACCTGCACCCGCCAACCTTCCTTCCCCTCTCTCTCGAATGGTCCTTTCATTGATTTATCTTATGAGTTACAGGCATGCAAGGTGGTAGCTAGTGTGAGTCTGGTGCACCAAGGGCTCTTACTACTCCCCTGTCACTACCCCCCCCCCCCCCCCCTAAGCTAGGTCCAGTGCAGGATCGAGGACCGAGAGGCAGTCCCCTAGGGATGGTGCCTCACCCACCGCCTCCAGCAGTGGGTTTTCTACTGCAGCCGCTATGCTGCACTTCTCTAAGTATCCAATCGACTGCCCCCTTTGAAGCGCCACCGACCACCGCTGCCGATATTGGTGTAGGAGCTTGGCAGCTTGGTAGGAGGTGGGCTCGGCGTTAAAGAACCGCCGTGCAGCCGTCTCCGCGAGCAGCTTTAGGAAATCCACTGTCTCAGGGCAAGGGCACCCATAGGTCTCGACCGCGAGCGGGAAAAACTTCACCCACTCTGGGCGGTCCGTGTAGAGGCCGTGCTTCTTATCTGCTGCTTCCCGTGCCGCCCACCCCCGCCCCTTAGTTGCATTCTCGTCGCGGGTGCTGATGGGGTCCGTCACCGTCACATCACATATGTAGACGGCTCCTGTACGGCGGCAGCGGAGGGCCAAGGCCGCCTTCTTCTCCTCCACTGGGCTGAAAGCGGCCGTTTCAATGTGCACCATGAAGCCTGCGTCGCGCGCCATTCGTGCGCATTCGTCTCTGAGTTCATTGTGTGTGTTCGTGCGCCCCCCCCCTGTCCCACATCGTAGCAGGTGGTTTGGGAGCCGCTTGTCTGGGATTTCCACCTTCTTCGAGCAGTTGCAGACCCCGGGAGCCGCAAAGGGGAGCCCCAGCCGAAACTGGAGCGCGTTGGCGTAGTGCGGAGCCTCGAGGTGTAGCGCGCGGTGCAGTGGCACCGCGTTTAACCAATCCCCTGCCCCGTACCCCGACAGGGACATCATCCGCTGCGTGTGACCATTGTTCGGGTTCGGGTTCATCCCCCTCACTTCCTCCACTTGGACAGCATAGCGCTGGCCTTGGATAGCCGTGGCCAGGCCGTGCTGTAGCTTCCCTGCGGTTGGGGCTGTTCTCTCTGCTTGCAGGGCTTCCTGAGCTGGCAGTGGGAGCTCCTCCTCGCATTTCGCGAGCCATTCGGTCAAGGGGGAGGCCTGAGTGTAGGGACCGCGCATCAGCTCTCGAGTGGCCTCCAGTGGGCCGGTGCATTTGTCCTCAAGGGCGTCCAGCAGGAGATGAGCCTGCGTGTAGCTGGCGAGGAAGCTGTAGCTTCCCTCCACGGACGGGTCTGTCAGTCCGAGCCCACCAAGCGAGACGGGGAGGGAGGCCTGCGCCCAAGTGCGTGAAATTTCCTCCTCCCCCCGCGGGTGGTTTATGCCGCATGCCGAGAGCAGGGTATCCAGCAGTCGCCTCCCCCATTCGGACCACTCCACCTGGGGCAGGGCCGGAAGGGGAGTCGTGCGGGCCAAGTAAGACACTCGGCGCGAGACGCACCGAGACAGCAGCAGTCCCGCCAGCTGGGGCTCCATTCGTTCTATCAATCCCAGCGGCGCTCCCATCGCTTCCAGGCTGGAACGTATGAAGGCGGATGTGGCTGTTGGGGTGCCGATGTAACTGCCCAGCACTTTCAAACCGTCGCTGCTGAGTGGAACCCCCTCGGGCAGGGTGTAGTCCGCCGGCGATCTATTGGACCAGGCCCCGCACTTGGCGGGGTTGTGTTTGAGCCCGATTTCCGCCAGGAGGCTCGTGAAATGATCAAAAGCGGCCGCACATGACGATGGGTCCCCTAAGAAGGTAACATCGTCCGCGTAAGCAAGGCAGATGACATCTGGGTGCGCCTCCGCAGCAGCCTTCAGAGCCGGATGCATGGCCGCGGCAAAAAGAAGGGGGCCGAGGGGGTCCCCTTGGCGGACTCCAGTCTCGCTGAGCAAGGGCGCGTGGTCAAAAGCTGCGTCCAGGTGAAGTGCAGACGACTGGCCGTAAGAGAAGAACACCAAAGGCAGAAGCGGCTCCAGCTGCGAGCCTTTCAGCGCTGTCGCTATGGCGAGGCGATCGACGCAGTTGAAGGCGTTAGCAAGATCCGCCTGCAGGACTAGCGCCTCTGGATTGGCCGAGGTGAAAGTTCTAACTATGTGGATCACTGCTTCTGCTCCTCCCGGCACGGCAACTCCAAACTGTAATGGTAAGAAAAATTCCCTAGCCGCTTCTGCCAGCTGAGTGAGCGCTGCTTTGGCTGCCAGTCGTAGGAGGCATTCGCCTATTGCTATGGGCCTTGTCCCTCCGTCTGGCTTATCGAGGGCTATCAACCGTGATGCGGTAAGAAGCCCCCCAACCTCCGTGCGCAGCTTCCCGCGAAGGATCGTGTTGACAAGCGCGTGTAAGTGTGAGCTGACCGCCGTGTGCATCAGTGCAGCTTCGCGCAGGTGTTCGAACGTCGTGCCTGAGGGGCCAGCGCCAACCCCGTTTTCACACTTTGAGAGAAGCTTCATGAAAACTTCTCGCGACACTGCCAGGTAAGTGTCCGGCTCAGGCTGGGGCCACGGTGTGTCGGGGTGCTGGGCACGTGGGTGTTTGGCGCGAAGAGATTCCAGAACTTCTGGGGTCGGCTTGCTGACTGGTGTCGCTTCAAGTGCCATGACAGCCCTTCGCAGGCTGCCACGTCGCGCCAGACCCTCTGCCCTGGAGATAACCCCCAAGTTATCCGGTTGGTGCCTGGGGGGTGGGGGCAGCTCCAGCGAATCCACCGTTTCCTGGTAGAGTGATTCCCATTCCCCTCGCAGGAATTTACGCAATCTGCTTCTGGTCGCCTTCCAATCGGGGTGCTTCGGCGACTGCTGACGCAATGTCAGGCGAGCGGCAAACAGCAGAACCGTCCAGGCTTGGGTGCTATCAGGGTCGTCGGCGAGTCGCAGCAGTGGTGTCAGTAAGACCATTGCGAAAAGCAGGCGCAGCTTTTCCGGAAGGCGACGTGCTAGAGGTGCGTTGCGACTGTCGCGTAGGTTGTCCAGATTCCAGTTACTGACACTTGCGAAAAGTGTGTCGTCCTTGGCGAGGGCTTCGGGCGATTTTTGGGGGAGGGGTTGTGGCTGCTGTTGGTTACCCCTCGCTGCAGTTCGTGGTGCAATCCCAGGTGTTGGTGGCGGGATTTGTTGGGCGGGCTGGTTGGCAGTGGTGTCAGGGTTGTTGGGAGCGGTTCGAATCTGTGGGGGTGGACGCAGCTGGGTGGGTGCGTGAATGGAAATTGTTGCCGCGCTTCGGGCGTGGGTTGGGTTGCCTCTCTGCTGTGCCGGAGTCTGTGACTGGGCCTCCTCCGAGGCATTCGAGGTTGAGTCTGCTTCCTCCTCCTCCGCCTCATAAATACTCCCCGACAAAGCATCTGCTTCATTAGCTCTTACCAACTCCGTTAAAGCCCTACGCGCCGCCGTCTGGAACGCGTTCTCCGGTCCGCCTTCGCGCATACTCCTTCCACGACCTCGGCCTCCGGCACGGCCTCCGCGCGTCCGCGCATTTGCCGCCGCCGGCGGAGGATTCCCTCGACTCGCTCCTCCCGCGCTCTGGCGCGACCTTGCGTCCTCGATCGCCTGCTGCCTACGCGTTCGCCGTAATGGCGACTGAAGCGGAGAAGTCAGCGGTGGACCAAGGTCACACCGCTGAGAGTGCGATTGCTCCGCCTCAGGCCCCTGCTGCCGCTGTTGCTGTTGCTGCTGCTCCCCTACTCCCCGCGGCTCCCCCTGCTGTTGTTGCGACATCCGCGGTTCCGCTCCCGTTGTCGCCGGCTCCCCCGCCAGGCCTTCCGCACGCTGTTCCCGTGTCCGGCGCGCCGGTTCCCGTTGCGCAGCCGTCGCGTGTGGCGCAGCTGCCCGCCCAAGCTGTCGCTGGGGGCCCTGCGCTGGGGACAGCGGTGGGCGCCGGCCCCGATTCTGCCCACTTGGTTGCTCCGTCGGCTGCGCCGGTGAATCCCGTCGCGCAGCGGCTCGCGGAGTCTCAGATACGCGCTGCCGTGGGGGGCAATGCAGCAGCGCATCGGGGGCGAGGTTCTCCTCGGCGTCGCCCCTCCTCGTCATATCGTTCGGCGCATCGCGGAGGTCGCGGTGGCTGGTGGGGAGGTCACGGTCGCGGGCGCGGTGGGCCGAGCGAGATGCAGCAGCTGCGTGAGGATTTCCCGGGGATGCTCGCTGCGGCGATGCGCAACGCCCTGAATGGCGCACCGAATCTTGGTAGCTCCCCGGCTCCCGCCGCCCCTGCGCCCGCTCCCGCTCCTGTGAATGCGGAGGTTCCGGCCGCGCCCCTTGCTGCGCCTGCTCCGCACGCATCTGCGTACCCGCGGGCTCCTCCTCCTGGCGGTGACCGTGCTCCACCCGCCTACGTTCGTCCTGTGTCTGCCTCGCAGTATCCGCCCCTGCCCTGGATTCCCCCTCTTCCGGACGCGGGATTTGTGGGAGTGGGAGGCGGAGGGGCGAGGGGAGCCTTCGTTCCTCCCCGTCGTTTTGCTGAAGCTCCGTCCGTGCAGCCTCCGCCCCCTCTTCCCGTTCCGCCTGCCGCGTTGAGGACGGGAATGGCTCAAGTTCCCACGGCGACCCTTGCGCAGCTGTGGCGCTTGGTGGAGTGCCAGCAGGCCCTGACACTGATTCTGGTGAATGCGCACTTCGCCATTCTCCAGAGCCCAGGGAGCACTCTCGGTCGTGAGGCTCGAGGAGATTGCTTGGCGGCGGCTGCGCAACTTGCCTTCCTCCTCCTACCCGTGCTGGGAGCGCCCGCGTTGGGAGGCGTTGCGGTTTCAGAACTGGACGGGACGGTCCAGGGTCTGACCGCACACCTCCAGGCTGGTGGCGGGATTGAAGCCGTAGGCGCGACCGCGTGGTATCCTCGCGGCGCTGGACGCCCATCTGATGTAGTTTCCGGCGCCCTCCGCGCGTAGACCCTTTGCATCTTGTGATCTAGTAGCTTGGCGCGTGGCCCATCACTGTCTTGTGTAGTTGTGATTATTGTTTTCCTTGCTGCTAATCCTTACCGCCCCAAAGCACGCGGCCGAAGGCCGCGCAACGCGAGCGCTGGCGGCCGCAGGCCGCCGGCGTGAGCGCCTACGAAAAACTGGAAACTGAATGAACTAATGAGGGGAAGAGGCCCCTACAGGACCCTTATATAGCCTAGAGGCAAGGGACAGAGGCAAGGGACAGAGGCTAAGTCCTCTCTCTCCCTCTCTCTCCCCACAGCAACGGCCTTGCTCTGCACTCACGTACTCTCATCCCAGTGGCCGCCACCTTCCTCGTCTTTTCTGACTACATGCGGCCGGCGCTGCGCCTCGCCGCCCTCTCCACCGCCCGCGTGCTCTTTGTCTTTACCCATGACTCCATCGGGCTGGGGGAGGATGGCCCCACGCACCAGGTCGGCCTATTTTGTCCTGTCACATTTTTTGTTTCCCTTGACAATTACTCTTTTCATTTTCATTTTATTTTCATTGCTCCAAACAATCCGCCACATCATCCGCCAACACACACCCACCCTGAACCCTCCTCTCTGTTCCTCCTCCCATCTTCCCTCCCCACTACAGCCAGTCGAGCATATCCCATCCCTCCGACCAATCCCCAACCTCCACGTCATCGGTCCAGACACACCACCTGAACTCCCCTCTCTACTCCTGCTCCCATCTTCTCTTCCTTCCCCCCCTCCTCTGCCTTCCCTCCCTTGCAGCCAGTGGAGCACCTCCCCTCCCTCCGAGCAATCCCCAACCTCCACAATATTTGCCCAGCACACCACAACCCTCATTTCCCTCTCACTCTACTCTCTCCCATGCCTCCCTCTACCATCATCCCCCCTTCTACAGCCAGTGGAGCACCTCCCGTCCCTCCGAGCAATCCCCAACCTCCACGTCATCCGCCCGGGCGACGCCACCGAGACAGCTGGCGCCTACGTGGCGGCGATTCGGCGCAGCGTGGGGCCCACCGCGATCCTGCTGTCCCGTCAGAAGCTGACAGCTCAGCTCCGGGGGTCGTGCAGGGAGGGGGTGCTGAGGGGGGGGTATGTGCTGGGAGGGGAGGGGAGGGAAGAAGAGGAGGAGGGGGAGGGAGGAGAAGGTGGATTGGATTTGATTCTGATTGGGTCAGGATCGGAGCTGGTGCTCTGCCAGGAAGCTGCTGAGAAGCTTCGCGAGGAAGGGTACAGGTGAGACTGACCGAGGCTGCATGCGGCTGTGCTTCCATCCCCAACCATCTGTCTCTCACGTTTTGGCATCTAAATTTTGAAATCCCCCCAAGAAAAACCTACTTCCATTTGCGTCAACGGGGCCAACCCCTTTCTGCGTGCATGATGCATGGTGCACCAGCAAGCAGTGTGCGAGCCGTGTGCCTGGGAGCCGAAGTAATCTCTTTCGAAGAAATCTCTTTCAAAGAAATCTCTTAAGGCCGTCTAGGATATCATCCCTTGCTTGTCAACCCAACCCCTACCCATGCCTCTTGCCTCATGCCACATGCCGCACCCTCATCCACCCCCTCTCACATCACATGCAAGCAGTGTGATGACATGCACACTGCATGCAAGCAGGGTGGTTCCCTCCCCTGCTGGGAGCTCTATTGAGGCGCCTAAGGATTCTCCTGCTTGCCAGTTTATGCCCCATGCCCCAACCCCATCCCGCACCCTCATCTCATCCTCCCCCCTCGCATATCACATGCAAGAGCGTGCGGGTGGTGTCCCTCCCCTGCAGGGATCTCGTCTTGAGGGATCTAAGAAGACTTATTTCCTGCTTGCCAACCCAAACCCAACCCATCTTTAATGCCCCACCTCCCCACCTCCAACCCCCCTCGCATATCACATGCAAGCAGTGTGCGGGTGGTGTCCCTCCCCTGCTGGGAGCTCTTCAGGCAGCAGCCTCGGGAGTACCGGGACGCTGTGCTGCCGCCACGTGTCACCAAACGACTGGCTGTTGAGGCTGCTCGCTCTCAGGTAGGCTGATTGTAGCTGCTGCTTGTTTTGGTGCGTGCTTCTGTCTCCACGCCATTAACAAGAATAGCCAACAACTGGAACAGCTTACCGGTAACACCACTCTTTCAAGTTCATCTACATTGCTCTCTTTTAGAGATTGTTTGACTTTGTTGTAGAGTTTTAAGATTTGGCCGACCATTGTTGGTGTAGTTTTGATCATTGTCTGGACTTGCGCCTGCTGCACCCCCCACAGGGCTGGTGCGAGTGGGTGGGACTGGAGGGCTCTGTCCTCTCTGTTGAGCGATTCGGTGCCAGCGGGCACTATCTTGAAGTGTTCCATAAGTTCGGATTCACTGTAGACAACATAATAGAGCGCGCTTATATGGTGATGGGGAGGACCGAGTGACGTGCAATGTGATAGAGATAGATGGTGTGCAAATTGTGAACTCTGATTAGAAGCTCGATGTGAAAAGGTCCATCGAGACGTGTCAAGATGCTAGTGAATTTGATACTAGTGAATGTGATACTACTGAATAATGATTCTAGTGAATGTGATACTAGTGAATGTGATACTAGTGAATGTGATACTACTGAATAATGATTCTAGTGAATGGGATACTAGTGAATGTGATATTAGTGAATGGGATACTAGTGAATGTGATACTAGTGAATCTGATATATAGTGATTGTGATACTAGTGAATGTGATACTAATGAATGTGATACTGATGAATGTGATACTAGTGAATGTGATACTGATGAATGTGTCTTGAGACGCCTCCAAAACAGATGAGCTTTAACAGCCCTGCCCTTTCCTCCCACACCCCTCCCACACCCCATTGTTCGCACCAACCCCCTCAACCCTCTTGAAGCACACTTCACCCCACAGACCCCTCACCCCACCCATCCCTCCTCTCACACCCCTCACACCTCTCACCCCCCTCACCACGCGCACCCCTCCTCCCACACGCCCCTCACCCCTTCCCCCTCCTCTCACACCCTGCTCACCCTTCACACCCCTTCCACACCCTACAGACTACACTCCATATCCTTGAACTCCCCTCCCTCGGACTCCCTCTCAGCTCCCCACCACCATCCCAACTTCCTCACACTCTTTCTCGCATCCCCCCTGCTCCCTACAGATCTTCCCCGCCCTCCTCGCTTCCCCCCCTGCTCCCTACACTCCCGTCTTCCTCACAATCCTCTCACATTCCCTTCCCCTACTCTGCACCTCACAGCCCCTCAGAGGGTCTTGGCAGGGGGGAGCTGGGCACAAGCAGAGTCGTTCTTGAATGGAGATGATGCACGAGCGGATAGCACTGCTCTGCCTTACGGCCGTCTAACGAACCAGAACTACAGTGTGTGCACGGGAGGAAAGGAGACATTTAAGTCTTTGATAAACGATAAGGTCAGATGACAATACGTATAATCTTATACAAGCTTGGTTGTACAATATACACGTTTATACATACTTACACCAATCAAGGAGGGACTAACACTAGGATCCTTATTCTACTCACCTCCTCGCCTCAACTCACATTGCACTGAACCATGCAAGGTAAGCCATGGGGCACTACAGGCGGAGGCCCAAGGAAGTGACTGCCTCTGAGCCCGCCTCCCTCTGCCTCCCGTGCTCTTCATTCGAGTCACGCCTCTGCTGCTGCCTCACCTGCTTTCCCACCTGTGTCTGCAGACCTATGTGCCTCTGCTCCTCTATCTGCTGCCCTATCTGCTGCCCTATTTGCTTCTCTACAATCTGTAACTGCTGCCCCAAATGCTGACCCAACTGCTGCCCCAACTGCTGCTCCAGATGCCGCCATAACTCCCGCTGCTGTCGGGTTGGTTGGGTTGACTGCTGAGTCACGCCTTGAGGCGACTCACCAGTGCCTGACAGCTGCTGTGGCGGTCCTGCCACGTGCTGCCTTGCCTGCTGCTGCTCACCCGCCTGGGCCTCTAACTTCTGACTGACATGCTGACCCGGTAAATGCTGAGTCCCATCGTGAGATATTTTAGAAGCGCCTGACAGCTGCTGTGACGGTCCTGCCACGTGCTGCCCTGACTGCTGCTGACCCGCCTGGGCCTCTAACTTCTGACTGACATGCTGACCCAGTAAATGCTGAGTCCCCTCGTGAGATAGCGCAGAAGCGCCTGCCGGCTGCTGTGGCGGTCCTGCCACGTGCTGCCTTGCCTGCTGCTGACCCGCCTGGGCCTCTACCTGCTGACCCAGATGCTGCCCCAGCTGCTCCTGCAGCTGTTGCACCAACTTCTGCCCTAACTGCCGCCCCAAATGCTGCTCCAGGTACTTCCATAGCTCTTGCTGCTCCCGGGTTAGCTGTGTTGGCTGTGTTGGCTGGGTTGACTGCTGAGTCACGCCGTGAGACAACTCAGAGGCGCCTGACGGCTGCTGTGGTGGTCCTGCCACGAGCTGCCTTGCCTGCTGCTGACCTGCCTGGGTTTCTAACTGCTGCCGTGCCAACTGTTGCTGCCATGGCTGCTGCTTCTGCTCTGATTGCTGCCCTTGCTGTGACTGCTGCTGCTGCGATTGCTGCTGCTGCAGCTGTGACTGCTGTGACTGCTGCTGCTGTGGCCGCTGCTGCTGCGATAGCTGTTGCTGCAGCTGCGACTGCTGCTGTAGCTGCAAGGGATGCTCTGGCGTTCTCCGCTGAAGAATGTGTGGAACAGACTGCACCTGGTTTGACTGCATTGACTGCATTGACTGCTGCTGGGCTGCTGCTGCCGAGGATTGTGGCAGGGGCAGGGGAGTTATAAGAGCGAGGCTGGAAGGGGTTACTGCAGCAGGAGTAAGACTGGCAAGAATGGCATAGGCAGTGGCAGCAGCAGGAGTTGCAGCAGCAGGAGCAACAGAAGGAGCAACAGAAGGAGCAACAGGAGCCATGACACTGTCAGTAGGAGCGGCAGCAAGGGTGGGGGCAGCTGGAGGGAAACGAGAGGCGAGAGATGGCGAGAGAGGAAGGGAGGGGAGAGGAGTGGTGGGTGCGGGATGGGCCAGCAGGGCTCTCATGCTGTCAATCACACGCACTGCTCTCAGCAGAATGTCCGCTGGGGGGGCGACACCTGGCAGTGCTGCTGCCGGGGCTACAGCAGCGGGAGCGGTGGGAGTTGGGATTGGTGCTGCAGCAGCGGTTGGCAGTGGTGCAGGGGGTGCGGCAGGTGTTAGTGGTGGTGCTACAGCAGAGGCAGGAGGCGCAGGTGGAAAGGGCAAGGCATGTGGCCGAGGGGATGGGGGCAGGTGCTGTGGTGAGACGGTGTTGGCAAGGCTAGCAGAGGTACAAGCAGCAGTAGCAGAGGAAGGAGCAGAGGCGGCAGCAAGGGCAGCAGCAGGGGCAGCAGCAACACCAGAGGCACAGGCATCAGTTGCCGGTGCTGGCATGGCTGCAGCAATGGGTGCGGAAAAATTGGTAGAAATAGGGATGGCGGGGTGGTGAAGATGGGTTGGAGGGTATGCCGTATGATTTGGAGCTGTGTGGGTCCGGGGGAGAGAAGGCGGAGGAGGGAGAGGGGAAGAGGCACGAGGGAGAGGGGAGGAGAAGGTTTGTGACACGACTGGGAGGGGAGAAGGAGGACGAGGGGGAGGTGGAGGAGGAGGGGGAGGAGGGAGGGTAAGATCAGGGGCCGCGAGAGGAGAGGCACCACCAGAAACAGAAGCGGCAACAGCAGCAGCAGCTGCAGCGATGATGGCAGAAGCAGAGAGGGAAGCGAACAGAGAAGGGGGCACAGCGGGGGTTTGGGGCAAATTCATGAGTGAAGAAGAGTGGTTAGGAGCAAAGTGGTTCGGGGGAAGGTGGTTGGAGGGAGGGTGGTTAAAACGCGAATGGTTGGCAGGAGGGAGGATGGCGGGAGGGTGGTTGGGGGGCGGGTGGTTGGCAGGAAAGTTGATGGCGGGAGGGTGGGTGACGGGTGGGTGGGTGGCGGTAGGATGGTTGGAACGGGGGTAATTGGCTGGGGAGACAGGGGCAGGATCAATAGCGAGATTTTGGGGAGCGAAAGCTTGGGGAGCGGCAAGAGGTTGGGCCGCGGGCGGTTGGGGAGCGGGAGGTTGGGAGGCGAGAGGTTGGGGCGCGGGCGGGTGGGGGGCGAGGAGGGTGTGCAGAGGGGAGGAGGAGGAGAAGCAGGCGTGGAGGCGCTGCCATGGCGTGTCATGCGCCGCTGCACTGCCCCTCATCCTTGCACTGCCACTCACCCCCCCGCTGTCTCTTATTCCTGCACTTCCTCTCATTCTCGCAGATGGCCTTGCTGCATCAGGAGGGGATAGTTCTGCTATTGACGCTGCTGCTCCTGCTGCTATCCCTCCTCCTCCTTCTCCTCCTCCCCCTCCCACTCCTCCTCCTCCTCCCCCTCCTCCTCCTCCTCCTCCTCCTCCTCCTCCTCTTCCTCCTCCTCCTCCTTTTGTTGCTGCTACTGCTGCTTCTCCTGCTGCTCCTGCGCCTGTTCCTGCTGCACCGCCTGCTTCACCGCCTGCTTCACCGCCTGCTGCTGCAGCGTCCGTTGCTGCAAGTTTCGGCGTGCAACGCAAAGAAGGAGACCACGTGGATTGCTGCACATGTGAGCTGCTGCCTGCAGCAGGCATCTCAGGAAGTCGAGAATTGCTGGCAAAAGCAGCACTCTCTGCAAAAGAGGTGGCAAGAGTGGCAGTGTTAGAACGTGGGGAGTTGAGAGGAGGTGGTGACTCAGGTTCGGCCTTGACGCCCGATGATAATCTTCCTCTTCCGCCTCCCCCGCTTCCTCCTCCGCTTGCTCCTGTGCTTGCTCCCCCGCTTGCTCCTCCGCTTGCTCCTCCTGCATGAACGCCACGTGGCGCGCAACCTGCCATGTCAGCACCTTCTCCGGTTTGCACGGTCTTCCCTCCAGCAACATTAGCAGCAACAATGGCACCACCGCCTCCAGCATCAACTCGATCACCACCAGCACCAGCAGGCTTAGTAGTAGCAGCACCAGGAGTAGCAGCACCAGGAGCAGAAAGAGGAACAGGAGCAGGAACAGCAGCAGCAGCTGGAACAGGAGCAGGAACAGCAGGAGCAGCAGCGCCACTGGCACCCCTGGCAGCAGCATGAGCAGCAGCATCAACACCATCGTCGTTCCAGTCGCACAGGCGAAGGTGGGGAGCTGACTTGCTCGCAATCCCTCCTACAGTGATGCTGGTGTGCTGCTGCCCCTGCTGCTGCTGCTGCTGCTGCCTCTGCTGCTGCTGCTGCCCCTGCTGCTGCTGCTGCCTCTGCTGCTGCTGCTGCCCCTGCTGCTGCTGCTGCATGGTGGAACAATCAGCACATGCATCGCTGGCAGCACTTGTGACAGCATCCCTGGCGCCATCCGTGAGAGCACTGCTACCAGAGGCGCGGTGGCCACACGATAGCACACCACCCACAGCCTGCTGCTGAGTTCCGGGATACCCTCCTGGTCCGCTCCTTTCACCTGCTCTGCTCCTTTCATCTGGTATGCTCCTTTCGTCTGGTTTGTTCTTTTCACCTGAAGCGAAATAATCGAAGCCACCATCTGCCTTAAAATCTCTTCTGCGTATGTTCGTTTCACCCGAAATACTATGATATGACCTATCGCGTGGCAGCGATTGCCTGGAACTACCGCATGTGGTTTCACCCCTGTAGACTCTCTGCCTGGCCTGCTCCATTTGTCTGGCCTGCTCCATGTGTCTGGTCTGCTCCATATGTCTGGCCTGCTCCATGTGTCTGGTCTGCTCCCTCTGCACGTGCATCAGCCGCCCTTCTTCTCTCGGCCTTTCCATGGGGTCTGAGTCGCGGCGGGCTGAAGCGAGAACTCGGGAATCTCTTGGGAGGTCTGTTGGAAAATCTGTTGGGAGTCCTGAGGCACTGGCTCCCGGGTGCGATCGTATTCGCTGTGCCACGGGACCTTCTCCCTCTCTGCCTTCCCCGCTCCACTCTTGCTTCACTGCTACCAAACCCCTCCAGGGGGGTGTGGATCAGAGTGCGTTGTTCTGTCAGTGCAGGTGATAGGAGATCTACCCCTGGAGGCTGAAGCTCCTGAACCTCCACCTTGAAAAGCACCTGAAACTACACCTGAGAGGACACCTGAGAGGCTGACCGAGGCGGAACCTGAACGGTCACCTGAAGGAACAAATGAAGGAGCACTGGGAGGAGCACCTGGTTGAGCAACTGAAAGAACACTTGAAGGAATACCTGACCGAATACCTGAAGGAGCGCTTGAAGGAGCACCTGAAGGAACACCTGAACGAAAACCTGAAGGAACACCTGAAGAAATACCTGAAGGAGCACTTGAAGGAGCACCTGAAGGAGCACCTGGCGGAGCACCTGAGGGAACACCCTGAGGCCACGCATGAGAGCGTAATCGGCCAAGCTCGGTATGAGTGGGCCTTGGATTCATGCCAGCACGAACCTCTTGGGAGGCAACAAGCTGTGAGAGCATGCGAGGATCGGTTGCAAGAGCATTCAAGAGGGCATCTCGTGCACTGGCAAGCTGAAACCTTGAAAGGGGCTGCAATCTCAAAGGGGGTTGCACTCCCAAGGGAGGGTTTTGAGGAGGTTCAGAGACGACAGGTGGGCTTTGTGACACAGGTGCGGTAAACATACGGTGGTGCCGCTCAGGAAGACAGTCGGCCTGGGGCCGTTTAGCCGGTACTGTTTCTTCTTCCTCCGCTGCTGCTCTTGCGGCTCCTACTCCTGCTGCTCTGGCTAATAATGATGCTCCTGCCCCTGCCCCTGCTCCGGCTGCTGCGGCACAGAAAGCCCCTGAATTCAAGAAGGGCGTTCCTCCAAGTGTTGGGAATTGGAGCGACCTTTGCGGCGGGGGCGTGGTGGTGGTAACCTCAGGAGAGCGGCGTTTCCTACTAGGGTGGGGCTGAGTGCTGCGGCTGCTAGGTGAAGTAATGTCTCCAGGCCGAACGGCAGAGAGAGGAAACTCCTCCGCAGGCTGAACGGGCAGAGGCTGGCTCGCAGCGGCAGTGGTGGCAGTGGCAACAGCAGTGGCAGTGGCAGTGGCAACAGCAGTGGCAGTGGCAGTGGCAGTGGCAGCAGCGGCAGTGGCACTGGTAGTGGCAGTGGGAGGGGGGGAGGACGATGAGGATGGGCTGTCTGAGTCAGCAGCAGGAGGCGGGTGATTGTGCTTGTTCTTGGCTGTCAGCCGCCGAGCTCGCATCTCAACCCTCCGCGTTCTGAGGCCCGTGCTGCTGTCTGCAGCAGCTGCGTTGCTGCTGCTGATGCTGCGTTGGATTGGAACCTTATCCACAACCAGCTTTGCTGGGCATCCCAGCGTGTCTTTTGCTGCGCACGCGTAGTAGAATCTGCGTATGACACAAAATCATTGACACGACAAGAACGATTGCATTGGAAAAAAAACAAAAATAAAAGATAAGTAGTAATGGTCTCTTGACCTTGTACACTATTGACTGAATCTCGGAATGTGAGGTCCAAAATTGACCCAAGAAACAGCAGAAGCAAAATCTTGAGCACTCTTCAAAAGGAAGAGGTTTGGCATTATCTAGCCTTTTTGGAGTGGCTCTCATGATGTTTCTCCTAGTATTCATCACAAAAATGTGTGTGTCTGGAAATCATCCGACCATTATTTTTTTTCACAAGGGTTCCAAAAACGTTTGAGAATCTTTCAGTAATCATCTAACTACCATTTGTATAGCATTTTTGTCAGACCAGATGATATGCTGATGTTTTATTAACGGTTTACCAATGTTTCAATGGTTTGTTTAACAGATGATGTTTGTTGAAACAATAATAAGGTTGCATAAATTTGTGTTTCACAATCAATTTATGTTATGGTTGATTGATATAGTTGCAACTTAATCATGCTTCCTTAATTCTGAGAGGCAGTAAGGTAAAAGTTTTATCCTGGGGAAAATCAGCTCTCATATCCGTTATTAGGATTTGAACCCTGGTCTCCATAACGAGAACCGAATATCCAAACTGACTGGACCACAACGGATGCATTCTGAATTCTTAGTTGTTGTTAATAAAATTTTTTGAGCGCGCATTTTCCTAGCATCAAAGTGTCGACATCACGCCATGGTCCCCAACCAGCCCAGAAATCTCTCTAACCAACCAAATTCGCCTCATTCAATCCAGCTCAGCATACCACTTTGCCCAACCAATCAAAGCCGGCATTGCATCCACCTCAACAAAATCAGGCCCAACCACCACCAATCGTGCCGACTAACCCACCCCATCCACACCACCTCTCAGCACTCTACCCGTTACGCTTGCACAAAAAGGTGAAGTGGGCTCTCAATTTGTTATTCTAGAGTGGCTGTGACTGATTTCAGTTTAGTTCTTCCTTACCTTAGCACGTTTTCCAATCTCGTTATCTCAACCGCCGCCGTAGTCTCAACCGCCGCCATAGTCTCAACCGTCGCCATAGTCTCAACCGTCGCCGTAGTTTCAACTGTCGCCATAGTCTCAACCGTCCCAATAGCTTGTGATTTTTCGCAATTGCCACGAGTGCGCCTAATTGGCCGTGTGTTTTTCCCCTCGTGCACTCCGTTTTCTTTGTGTAGGTGTGTGCTCCGTTTAAATTCCTCTTGATCAACATGTGCAGGTCGAAGCTTAGTTCGCGCTGTTTTCTGATTAAGGTCACGTCCGATCCTTTCCTGAGTTAGCCGAAATTGTTATCTAACTAATGTCGTTGGCTCTGTTTCTACTCTCATGCAGTCCGTTTACTTCGTGTAGCCTTGTGCTCCGCGATGCATATCTCTCTCCGGGTTTTAAATCTTTGTTATCCCCATGTGCAGGTCGCGCGGTTTCCAGGTTGAGGTCGCGCTACGTTCCTACTCTTGCGCTTATGTGAACTGCTAGCTAATGAAACGTTTTCGTTTTTGTTCGTTTATTTCGTTGGCAGGCGGTTTTATACTGTATTTCCTATTAATCTCCGGTTTCAAGTACTCCTTTTTCAGGTAAGCATTATGTTTACATGTCACTGGTTTAAATTCATGGCTAACTCTTATGGTGAACTGCAGGGGTTGCTTGGTGATCTGCAGATGGTTCTGTCTTCGGCCAAGACCATGCCCACATCATGTATAAGACGTAGATCACCCCCTGCAGTAGGCGAGGGTAGTTCTATATATTTCTATCTGCCATTGTGCCATGGATATATTTTACATGTTGTTGGCATTTCTATTAATGGGAAATCTGAATTGTTAATATTAATAACGTTTGTGGAATGTCCAATAATTAGTATGAAGTCAACATCAAACTCACTGAAGAGTACAATGCAATCAGATCTAGTCTCCAAAATCACTTCGCGAAAACTCATACCAAACGTCAGTCGAAGGTATTCAAGATGCAGTTTTGAACAGAGAAGCATTCGAGTACCATTTGAAAAGCATTCGACAAAGCATTTGGAAAACGACCTATACTTTCTCAAAAAAACGTTTGAAACCCTACGTTTATAAATCATTTGAAAAAGCTCCCACGAACCTCTTTTCATCGGCTTTCTGGACGCTGGATTTTTGTGATGTTGTTTTGAGTCATTGGTACTAAGTAGTACTTCGAAATCGCAAACGGTTGGTAATTTAAGCCTGATTTGTATTTCACAGGATTGGGCCCAAGCATTGCCGCGCGGCGCGAGAATTCCCACTCCTGTACAAACCGTGCTGTATAAACCGCGTAATTTAGAAAAGTTATTTTGAGTAAATAACAAAATAATCGTGACTCCACTAACCGTTTGCCTTCTTGATGGGACGAAAGGACTTTGTGTCCATATTTCTTCCACTTGTAAGCTGTAACAGGCACGTCGTCAGTCGACATTTCCAAATTTGGGAAACAAAAATCCCAAATGTGCTAACAAAAGCTTGAATCTGTTTGAAAGGTCTGAAGCCGCCGACTCCGAATCGGAGGTCCAGAATTTGTGCAGAAATTGTGGAGAAGCGAGAGCGGAGGTACTACACAAATGAGAACGAAAATGTCTTGGTGAAAAGTCCTGATTTGGATCACGTAAGTCTCCAAATAGAACTTCTGAAGGCGATGAACTTTCGTCATCAGGTTTCATGGACCACAAACGGATCTCGAGGACGATTCGAATAATTGTAGGGTGGAGTGGAGTGGAGGTGTCTGTCAAGAAACAGTGGGGGAAATGGTTGGCAGGGTCGAGCCAGTATGGAACAAAACCCTCCGCCAAGACGGGGACAGAAGTGGCTTGCTGGGATGGGAGGGATGGACCAAGGCAGGGAAGTCTGACAGCCGAGCATAAAATCAATCCGAGAGCTTCTGCCCGGCAACGATGCCAGGGATTGCGTGGAGAGAAGTACACGTACATGTGCTGTCGCAAGAGTTGTGCTATGGAATGAGAAAAGGTTCATGCTCTGCTGTCGGTCAAAGTAGTGTACTCTATCAGAAAGATGTTCGGAAGGTTGTTACGAATACGCGTTTGTGGAGAGCGCTGGGGGGGAGTTTACTGGGGAACTCCGCGTAGTTGCCCAAACAGTTCGATTCGAAGGGGGGGACTCGGCGGGCTCCGCTGCATCGTGACCAGTGCTTCACAAAGGCGGAACGGCGGCTACCAACAACCCTTGCTGCCCGTGCGGTGCGGACGCGGTTATCGGAGCAAGAGGCGGTGATGGCTGTCCGACCATGCTCCTCGTGCTGTACTGTACTGATTCGATCCAAGCACGCTGAACAGTTCAATGTGTACAGTAGCTGAGGGTGGTCCTCTAACGTCTTCCCTAACCAACAGGTTTGGGGATGAGGTTAGGTGCTGGTTGTCCAATTGAATGGGTTCTGAGATGGACGGTTTGGGGTGGCAGAAGTGAGCAAGTTTTGCAGACCGAATGTTTAGAAAAATCACGTTGACTATGGCACAACAATGTGCAAGTGAAGACTAAGAGTGTCTTTTGTACATGGTAGAAAGTAAGTCAGGGGGGTCACCAAAACAGGGTTCACCACCACCCATTTGAAACAAAGCCAGCCATGCCAGCCTCTGCCATGGCACGCACCCTCGCCTCTTGGCACCTTCTGCTCCACCTCAAGAAGATGGCTGCAGCGGTGTGGGCTGGTTGAATGGGGTGCTAGAAATAGTCATCCGTAGGTTTGGGGGGACCCTACCAGATCCGACTCAATAACCCGGTTCATCCTGCCTCGTTGAGGTAATTTTATAAAATGCAAACAGAGGTCTGGACCATGTCGAAATTGAGTGTGTCTGATGGGCAATCGCTTTTTGTTCTGTGGCACTGAGGGTCGAGAAATTCCCCGTGAACTGGAGAAAGAACGGGCTGTTGGGGTGGAGGGAAGAAGCTTCTGGAAGGGCTACTTCGGTTCTTGGTGACCCTACCAGAGTCGGACATCCGGCCTTTTCAGTCAAGGTAATGGGTGTTTTGCACAGAGCAAGTACTCGAAGTGCCTCCAACACGGAGTTTCAAGCATTAACAGGGTGGTAAACTCGGAAAATGCCGGAATTATCTGCGGCGAAACAGCAGAGTATGAATCAAAGCTGGAATAGGGGAACACGCCTTGAAATATTGTGCCATTCTGCTTCTCGGCCTGAAATAGGCATTGGCCATCGGAGCTTCACGTCTGGGAACGGGAAATAAATTGCCGCGTCTGTCACGTGATATGGACGATGTGGGTTGGTGACCGCCCTGCTATCCACAGCAGCTGCGATTTTATGTACAGTCCACAAACGATGGAGACGAGATATACGTTTTCCACGCAATCAGCGCTCAAACGAAATTCAAGGTGGAGCTTCAAAATGCTGTACGCGGTGTTTAGGATTAGAATAAGGTCGTATCCCAGCCTAGTGTCAAGAAGTTGGTGTCAAGAAGTTTGCGCACGCGATTGGTTAAAAAAAACGCTTGACCAATCGCATTGGCCGGGAAATTTGTTTGGACCAATCGGATGCGCAAACTTCTTGACACCAACTTCTTGACACTAGGCTGGGATACGACCTAAGGAATTGTGAATACCGAGCCTTGCACTATAGCTTTCATTGTTACCCTTCACTTTTACATGGTTGTGGAATGCAACTCGGCCTCTTTGTTCCATTTACCGCGACGCTATATATACTCTCACTAAAGCACTAACCAATACTCAACCTCAACCTACGGTAATCGCACAGCCGGTGGCAGTGCCTGAGATTTGGAAAACAATTTAACTCCGAGAGCTAGAGGCACCTTGAACGTTGACGTGTTTTTTCGTGATACCGTACCAGCAGCTGCCATGGAAGGCGGGCTTGGTACCAATGCCTGAGATTCACCGTTGAGGTGCCTGAAAAGCCACTCCGAGGCACCTCAATTGTTAATGCGCTTATTGGCGATAGCAGCTGCCAGGCATGGGGGCCTGGGAGCGCGCATGGGCATTGTCGACTGGAGCGGCCTCTATGCCGCGAGATGTGAGCAGGCAGCGGAACATGTGCAGGCGCGTGTGGGCCTCCGAAATATGCGAATCAACATACTCCCGGGGGCTCCAGAGGCGCTCTGTGTGGGGAGGGAGCGAGGAAGACGGACGGGAGGAAAGGAAGGATGTGAGCAGGCAGCGGAGCATGTGCAGGCGCGTGTGGGCTTGAGAGAGGTGTGTATCAACATATGACCGGGGGCTCTAGAGGCGCTCTGTGTGGGGAGGGGGAGGGAAACAGATAGAGATGGGAGGGAGCGATGTGGGCAGGCAGCGGAACATGTGCTGGCGCGTGTGAGCGTGAGAGAGATGCGAGGAAACGAGTAAACATATGCCCGGGGGCTCCACAGTTGCTCTGAGTGGGGAGGGGGAGAAACAGAGAGACAGAGAGTGATGGGAGGAAAGGAGGGACGCGAGCAGGCAGCAGAACATGTGCACACGGGAGAGTAAACATTTAAGGGAATGCGGCCCCTTGAGGCAACAATAGCCTTAGACTCAGAGGGGATACGTAAGCCTCCTTGAAAGAGCAACAGCATCTGCAACAGCACCACCATCATCACCTCATCAGCAGTAACATCAGCCCATCAGCAGCAGCAGCAGCAGCACACGGTCACACATTGAGCAGACAGAGGATACTCCATCACTGTCTCATGGGCAGCAGAAGCATGAGCATATCACCACCAACTCACCAGCAGCAACAGCAACTCACCAGCAGCAGCAGCAGCGCGCGGCCACACAGTGTTGAGCAGATCAGATGGGTCTACCCGCTCCCCCCACATGCACGTCTCGACGCCCACCACCAGGTGCTGTAGTGCCTCTGGCACTCCTGCTGCCAACTCACAAGGAGTAGCGGCACCACCATCATCTCACCTGCAGTGCAGCAGCAGCACCATCATCATCTCACCAGCAGCAGCGGCGGCACGGGGCCACACAGTGTTGAGCAGATCAGAAGGGTCCACCCGCTCCCCCCACATGCACGTCTCGCCACCCACCACCAGGTGCTGTAGTGCCTCTGCCACCCCTGCTGTGGGCTCCTGAGAATACACCTGAGCGCAACAGAGCAGAGCATGGGAGAGGGGAACGAGAGGATAAGTCACGTCTGGTGGTTGATGTTAAGGTACCAGTCACACCAGATATGGCTTCTGTCTACATGCTTGCCTGTTGGATCACGTTGACTCCCTTTGACTTGCGTTGACTCACCTCGCTCCACGTACGGTCAATGAAGTCAAGGTACCAGCCGCAACTGATACTGCTCCTCTCTACATGTTCTCCCATGTACTCCCGCTGACCCTCGTTGACTCATGTTGACTTGCATTGACTCACCTCGCTCCAGCTGCGGTCAGTGAAGTCAAGGTACCAGCGGCGGTTGAGATTGCTTGTCTACAATTGACTCCCATTGACTCATGCTGACTTGCGTTGACTCACCTCGCTCCACGTGCGGTCAATGAAGTCAAGGTACCAGCCGCGGTTGAGATTGCTGAAAATCATTCGAAATCCAGACTGCACGATTGCGGGCGGCAGAGCCGTGTCAAACCTGCCATGAGGGAAAGGGCACACGAGAGGGAATGGGGAGAAGATGGGGAGAGGATGGGGAAAGAGACATGCCCCCCATCCGCCCCTCCCTGCACAGCACCACCCATCCACCAGTTATGCATGATGGTAGTGGCACCACGACACATGCAGACTCACGCCCCCCATCCGGCCCTCCCCCCAGCACCCACCCACCAGTTGTGCACGATGGTAGCGGCTGGATCTAAGCCTGCGCCAAACACGGATGTGAAATGCCAGAGGCAAACACCCTTCCCTCCCCTCCCCTCACCCCTCACCCACCAGTTCTGCACGATGGTAGTGGCTGGATCCAGGTCTGCGCCAAACACCTTGAACGGCTCCTCCCTGCCCACATGCGGTGAGAGCATGCGGTGAGAGTGTGGGGTGAGAGCTGTCAAGAGAGGACAGGTGGGCTGCGAAGGTCTAACTTCCATCAACTCTTGCTGCATTGGAACAACGAGACAAACTCCATGTGAAAATGGAGTGTGGTGAGAGTGGGGTGAGAGCATGGGGTGAGAGCATGGGGTGAGAGCATGGGGTGAGAGCATGGGGTGAGAGCATGGGGTGAGAGCATGGGGTGAGAGCATGGGGTGAGAGCATGGGGTGAGAGCATGGGGTGAGAGCATGGGGTGAGAGCATGGGGTGAGAGCATGGGGTGAGAGCATGGGGTGAGAGCATGGGGTGAGAGCATGGGGTGAGAGCATGGGGTGAGAGCATGGGGTGAGAGCATGGGGTGAGAGCATGGGGTGAGAGCATGGGGTGAGAGCATGGGGTGAGAGCATGGGGTGAGAGCACGAGGTGAGAGCATGGGGTGAGAGCACACGCAGTCACAGGCACAGGAGAAGGATGATGGACGATGGTAGTTGGAGAGATGTAAGGAAGAGGAGAAACAGCCACGGGTTATGGGGGAAGACAGTGGGTGGAAGGAGATGTGCATGTGTAGGGGAAGCCAGGCTGATGGGACTCCACGGATTGAGAGAAACGTGGGAAGCAGAGGATAGCGGCACAGGAGAGCGTGTATTGAGGCGTGAAATAAGTGAATTTTTTAGACGTCTCAAAATTTCACTTATTTCAAGAGGATGGCGGCACAGGAGAGTGTGTATTGAGGCGCCTCAAAAACAGGTCAGCAACAGGGGTGTGCTCTTTGAGTGGCAAAGGCAGGTTTGATGTGCTGTCATTCTGCCACACCCTGCCACACCCTGCCACACTCTGCCACACACCGCCACGCACTGCCACACACTGCACTCACCACACGACAGCAGTCTGCCACCCAGCCTCCACGGCCAATGCCTGCACTCGCCTCACAAAGTACCCATAGCCGCCCTCTGCTGTCAGATTGCGCTGCTGCAGCCTGGTAGGGGGAAGGAGGGGAGAATTGTTGGTTGCCCGGCAAGGACAGGGATTGACATTTGAGGAAGCGTGGTATGAAGGATAGGGGAAGAGATGCAGAGGGGGGATGGAGAAGGAGGTGCAGAGGGATCAGGGAGGGGGAATGGAGAAGAGAGGTGCGGAAGGATCAGGGAGAGGGAAAGGAGAAGAGCGGTGTAAGTTAGTGCATAGTCTTGAGATGCCATGATGGTTGCCATGTGGGTGTGCTGAGGTGATGTGGGTGTGCTGAGGTGATGTGGGTGTGCTGAGGTGATGTGGGTGTGCTGAGGTGATGTGGGTGTGCTGAGGTGATGTGGGTGTGCTGAGGTGATGTGGGTGTGCTGAGGTGATGTGGGTGTGCTGAGGTGATGTGGGTGTGCTGAGGTGATGTGGGTGTGCTGAGGTGATGTGGGTGTGCTGAGGTGATGTGGGTGTGCTGAGGTGATGTGGGTGTGCTGAGGTGATGTGGGTGTGCTGAGGTGATGTGGGTGTGCTGAGGTGATGTGGGTGTGCTGAGGTGATGTGGGTGTGCTGAGGTGATGTGGGTGTGCTGAGCAACTCACAGCAGCTCAGCAGCTCACCATGCTTTTATGGTGGGAGACGCCTCCCAACACTCTGATGCGAGGAGGGATGGAGGGAGGGAGGACAAAAAGGGCGAGACGATGGGGGAGAGGGAGGAATACGTGTTGGCCGCAGCAAGAGACGAAAAAGAGCAGCAGCGATTAAGAAGATGCATAGCAGCGAGACGGCGCGAGTTTTGCAGACTATAACATAAATTGCTTGGTGGGGGTGTGGTGTGCGTGCGTGCCTGTGCGCGTGCGTGCGTGTGTGTGTGTGTGTGTGTGAGTGTGTGTGTGTGTGTGTGTGTGTGTGTGTGTGCGCGCGTGTGTGTTTGCGTGTGTGTGCGTGTGCAAGTGTGGGTGTGCGTGTGTGGGTGTGCGTGTGAGTGTGTGCGTGTGTGGGTGTGTGTATGTGTGTGCGTGTGTGTGTGTGCGTGTGTGTGTGTGCGTGCGCGTGTGCATGTGCGTGTGCATGTGCGTGTGCATGTGCGTGTGCATGTGCGTGTGCGTGTGCATGTGCATGTGCGTGTGCGTGTGCGTGTGTGTGTGGGTGTGCATGTGTGTTTGCATACCAAAGCTGACTTCGTCACCCCCCAGGTGAATGTAAGAGCTTTTGAAGATGGCACGGAGGTCTGGTGGAGGGGGTTTGGGTGGACAGGCGAGCAGGCGAGCAGGGGAGCAGAGGAGATAAGTGTTGATAACAGCTTCGCACTCATGCACCGTGCAACACCTGTACTCGATTTGGACGTGACAAAGTTGTTGCAGACTCGCTGACATTTAATTTAGACTTTGAAGTCATGAAGAGGTGCAGAGCAGCCATACCTTGCACACACGCACACCTTGCAGTGCCCCTTTGCACACACACACCTTGCAGCACCGCTTTTCACACATACACACCTTGGAGCACCCCTTACACACACACACACACCTTGCAGCACCCCTTTGATGAGCTGGAAGGTGAAGGGGTTGGAGACATCGAGAGGCTCGGGGCAGTTGGCAGACGGCAGGAGAGGCGGATAGCCCACTCCCCTGGGAGGGTGAAGAGAGGAAAAGAAAGAGAGATGGATTATTCTTCAACTCTTTTAGGTCAATCCAGTACAGCAGATGGAACATGGATAACCGAGACAAAGCACTCGGGGACTCGATGGTAGGATGGAACAAAGGAGAGCTGACCATGAGGCAGCGTGTGCTGGTGAGTCCAGTTCAGGTACCACCATCACCCCCCTCTCCTCCGCGTATCTGGCCAGCAAGGGGGCATGCAGAAACCATGGATAGGGACGAATGTAACAGAGGGTAAGGAATAAGAATTAGGACAGGAGAGGAAGGGAGGAAGGAAGCTGGGGAGAGGTGAAGGGAGGAAGGTGAGAGGGCGCCAAGACCTTCTCGGCATAAGATTTGGCAAAAGGTGACTGGCAGGAACACGTGACGCAGCAAGAGAGAGACCGGAAGGAGGGATTCAAAGGAGAAGGGAAGAAACGAGAGGTGTGGAGGGAGGGAGCAAGAAGCGAGCTGCTGCTGACTGCACAATGTGGCGCATATCGTCAGTGGTGTAGCGCTCGGAGGGGAAGAAGGGAATAGAAGGAGTGTGGAAAACAGGAGGTGACGAGAACTGGGAGGGGGAAAGGGAGGTGGGCAGGCGAGCAGGTACTGACTGCACGATGTGGCGCATATCGTCAGTGGTGTAGCGCTCGGAGGGGGAGAAGGGAATAGAAGGAGTGTGGAAAACAGGAGGTGACGAGACGAGGGAGGCGGGCAGGCAAGCAGCTGAGAAAGGTGCCAATGACTGCACGATATGGAGCATGTCGTCTGTGGTGTAGCGCTCAGCGGGAGAGAAGGCAATGAAAGGAGGCGTTGAGAAGAGGATGTGAAGAGAAGAGGGAGGGGGAAAGAGGAGTGGGCAGGCGAGCAGGTACTGACTGCACAATGTGGTGCATGTCATCAGTGGTGTAGCGCTCGAAGGGAGAGAAAGCGCCCAGCCAGAGGCGAGGGAAGGAGGGTGTCTCGATGGGGAAAGACTGTGTGTCCACCATGTGCCAGTGCCTGATGTGGGGAAGATTTGGGACGGGAGAAATGGCAGAGGGGAAGTTAATGGAAGAGGGGCGCGGATCAGTTTCCAACCCCATGACGAACGACTTCGAGTCCACCATATGCCAGTGCTTGGTGGGGGTTGGTTGCGTGACTCACAGCACTCACAGCATGTTGGATGCATGGCATGAATCCATGGCAAAGCACGTTGAATGCGTGAACGCATGGCATGAATGCACAGCATGTGCCCATGTCACAGCACTCACAGCACGTTGAGCTTGGCATGGGCCATGGAGTCAATAACCCTCTCCATCACTGGCACTGGCAGGAAATGCCGCGCCGTGTCTGGTGGGACCATGGGATGGTGACACGGTGAGGATGATGGAAGAAGGGGATTATAGATGAGGATTACAGGAAGCAGCAGGGGAGTCGTCATAACAACCAGCAATCCTCCATAGGGTGGAACATAGAGCAGGGTAATTTTCGAGTTTACTCAACGGACGAGCACGAATGCAGCACCCGCCACAAGGTGGTAAGTTGTCCGCGACATGTGGTAAGGTGGTAACTTGATGACATGTGCTGCCGTGCTGCATAGATGACCATGACATGACTTGCCTATGAGCAGCCCGCGGTGCTGGAAGCGGGGTGCATCGCGGATGAGGAGGGGCGAGCCCCGGATGGTGACCAGGCGAGCCACGAAGTCAAAGACACACAGCTGTGAGAGGGTCTGTTGGGCAAGAGGGGATGGGGGGGCGTGCAGGCGGTTTTGAAAGCGGGCGGTGCTGGAAGCGGAGGGGCGAAGCCCCTGATGGTGACCAGGCGAGCGAGGAAGTCAAAGGCACACAGCTGGGAGAGGGTCTGATAAGGCGAAGGGAGGCAGGGGAGGAATTGAGGGACGAGGGGAAGGAGGTAAAGGGGGAACGGGGAAGGGATAAAGGGGTGCAAGGGGGAATGGCAGGAAAGGGGAAAACGGGGGAGAGGGGATGCGAGTGGGGGAAGGGAAGAAGGGGAGCTTTGATGGCGAAGAGAAGGGCAGGGAGAAAAGACGACAGTGCTGTAGGCGTGACTTTACGAAAGTTTCCAAGATACGCACATGATTACGAGCGGAGAAGGGAGATGCACATGACGAGAGCACTGAAAAATCAAACTTCGGCAAGGACGTTTGTGACTTGCGAGGACAGAGATGAGCGTGATTATGTGCAATGGAAGAGAACTCACCTCTAGTGCTCGCAATGCTCCGGTGGTGGTGTTGGCCTGCAGATAGGCGGACAGATGCACGTGCATGCATGGATTACAGCAGAACATGCAAAGAGGTGATTGATTACGAAATAGAGAAACAAGCTGAATAGCAGTTAGCACATGGCATATGGCACATGGCATATGGCACATGGCACATGGCACATGGCACATGGCACATGGCACATGGCACATGGTACATGGTACATGGTATACGACACTCACTGACCCGAATGGTGGCATGAGTGGTGGCATGGCCATGCCGTGCAGCTGGGTTGCCACCATCTAAGTCACGAGCAGCATCAGTGGCATCAGCAGTATGTGGTGGTGTCGATGCGTGTGGGATGGATAGCTCGTAGCTCTCGTCCACTCCCATGTGCAGCTGCACGCACCATCATTCCATAAAATGGCAGGCATGCAAGGATTGTCATGCCATACAATGCCGTGCCATGCCATGTCATGCCATGCCATGCCATGTCATGTCAAGCCATGCCACATGGTGTCATGCAACATGGTGTCATGCAACATGGTGTCATGCCACATGGTGTCATGCAACATGGTGTCATGCAACATGGTGTCATTTCTCCAACCTTTTCCATGTCAGCTCGCAAAGAGCCAGAGCGCACATGACTCAACATCACATCACACCATGCCATGTCACGCCATGCCATGCCATGCCATGCCATGCCATGCGATGTGAGGCACTGGTGAGTCAGACTTGAGGCAATGCCAACTCAGACTGAACGCAACAAACTACAATAGAGGATAAGTGCATCAATGACTGGAATGAGCACAAGGACAAAAGCAGTGCTCCACTCTCACCTCTGCCTCCGTGTCTTCCACATGCACTCTCACCCACTCTCAACCACTCTCACTCACTCTCAACCACTCTCACTCACTCTCAACCACTCTCACCCACTCTCAACCACTCTCACCCACTCTCACCCACTCTCAACCACTCTCACCCACTCTCAACCACTCTCACTCACTCTCACCCTCTCTCACCACTCTCACCCACTCTCACCCACTCTCAACCACTCTCACCCACTCTCAACCACTCTCACTCACTCTCACCCTCTCTCACCACTCTCACCCACTCTCACCACTCTCAACCACTCTCACCCACTCCCAACCACTCTCACTCACTCTCACCCTCTCTCACCACTCTCACCCACTCACCTCTGCTTCTGCGTTCTCCACATGCACTCTGACCCACTCCATCACCTCTACCCCCTCCTCTCCCACTTCCAATTCCCCTCCCTCCCCCTTCGCTGCACTCTCCTCTTCCCCCTTTCCCGCGACTCCCCCACCCTTCCACTCCGCCTCTTCCCCCGCCGTTTCTGCATTCAGTCGGCCTTCTGCCGCGTTTCCTCCCCTCAGCCGGCGCCTCTCCGAACCGCCATGGCTCTGTCCGCCGCGCCGCCGCGAGTAGTCATGTGCGAAGATGATCCCAAGGTAACGCTCGAACGCGCGTCGCAGCACCTCCGCTTTCTCCTCCCGCCTTCTCCCGTCAAGCAGGCTCGGCACTCCGCCGAAGCTAATGTCGAGCCTCAGGTTCGGACTGACGACTACCTCTCCGCTTCCTTCCGCCGCTATTTCCGCCGGCATGGGCCACAGGCGCAACCCCACGCCTCCCCGTCCGCTTCCCCCCGCGCCATCGCCAAGCTGTTTCCCCCCATGCCTTTGAGCCTTCCGCGCGCGCTTCTGCTCCGCGCGCAGACGGCGAAGCTGCGCAACCCGCCTGCGCCATTCCTCTGCGCTCTTCCCGCCTTCGCTAGAAGCACTCTCCCCATCACGAAAACGACTGGAACGAACAAAACCACTTTCATACGAATTCGCGTGCAAAGCTAACTTGGATTCTAGATTCCGCTGATTTTCGGGTCCACGTGGCTGAGAATGAGCCACGTCGGACTCTGACGTGTACGACCGCGAGTGGTACGAAGGCAGGGGAAGGATTTCGAGCTCGAGCAAGAGAAGAAGCAGCGCGGCTGCTACGGTAAACGACACCCACGCGGTGTGCCGGCGAAAGCGGAAATTTCGGCTCGAGTCTCCCGCGGCGTTCGTGAGATGCGCGCGAGAGGACGGGGAGAGGCGGGATGATGGGGACGGGAGGAGCGGAATCTCGTGATCCGACGCCATGGCTCTACAATTCCGAATGATTGCCCTTGGGATTTGCGGAAGGTGAAATGTGTGCATTGGGATTTGCATCTCCTGTAATAGCGGTTCTGCTTGAATCGTTTTAGCTAGCGAACAGTGATGGCGGTCTAATTGTCAAGTGTATATATTTTGACATTTAAATTGAATATGACATGACGCATTAGCAGGAGGAACTTTGGTTATTAATGCACCAAAACACACTCCAAACATCCTATTTGACCGGCGCGTGCTAATGGGAACACTATAGCACCCCCTTATCAGTACCACACCACATAAATTTGTAAATACCGTAGAAGCAAGCACTATAAAAAAAACAACAATATTAAACTTTCAGGCATATGCATCCAGTCCAGTCCCCTTCCGCCTCGCCTCCTTCCCAGTGCTTGCGAGGAGGAACCAATGACCACGTAAATCCAACAAGGCGCTTGGATGTGTGCCTCTTCATTTTGACAGGCAAACCTCCCCGCAAGCCCATTATTGTGGTCATTGAGATGGACATTCAGATGCAGATATGCAAGGCTCGAGTGCTCACATGAATGAACGGAAGGGGGCTCGTGTCGTGTGCTGACATGAATGGGTGGAAGGGGGCGTGTGTGCCCACATGCATGAATGAAAGGGGGCTTGTGTCGTGTGCTCACATGCATGAATGAAAGGGGGCTTGTGTCATGTGCTCACATGCATGAATGAAAGGGGGCTTGTGTCGTGTGCTCACATGCATGAATGAAAGGGGGCTTGTGTCGTGTGCTCACATGCATGAATGAAAGGGGGCTTGTGTCGTGTGCTCACTTGCATGAATGAAAGGGGGCTTGTGTCGTGTGCTCACATGCATGAATGAAAGGGGGCTTGTGTCGTGTGCTCACATGCATGAATGAAAGGGGGCTTGTGTCGTGTGCTCACATGCATGAATGAAAGGGGGCTTGTGTCGTGTGCTCACATGCATGAATGAAAGGGGGCTTGTGTCGTGTGCTCACATGCATGAATGAAAAGGGGGCTTGTGTCGTGTGCTCACATGCATGGATGGAAGGCCGGTTGGTTTGGTTTAGGCGTAGAGAAAAGCCTGAAACAACACTTTCAGGATTTGGCTGAGGGCAAATGTTTTGGTTTCGAAGATAGGAACTGCAGATGGCTTGATTTGTGCATGAAGAAATGACTCATCCAAAATGCAGCACTTCTTTGAACTACCGTAGTTGGTTGGGAAATTGGAACAGTTTCTGGCTAAAAAAGGCTCGTAGTGGTCAGAGGGTTTGGTTTGGACATAAGAAAGGATGTGAATTCAAAAGTCGACTCAAAAGTCACTCAAATGGCCACAAGAAATTGACTGATGCCAGACACGCTTGGCGAGCTTTCGGCCAGGGGTTCAATCAACTCATAAAGGGCTTAGGTTCAATCGAAGCAGCAAAAAGGGAAAACAGCACAAGGCTCGTTGGAAAAGCGTAACGCTCGGAGGGGGTGTGTGTAACCGCCCGAGCAACCACAAAGGTTCACCTGTGCTGGCACAGAAGATTCTATCTAGGGGTAGGATCATTGGCTGCGTCTCATCTCATCGTATTCAACTAGATTCTAGATCTGTGAAGCAGATGGGCATGGGTGTTGGGACCCTAGTCCCTGGTCCTGCTATGACCCTAGCGATCCTGGTCCAGGCTTGAGCAGGCTGTGCTCTGTCAAGTCAAGAGCAGAGCGCTGAGTGGAGGGTGTGAGAGGCTGTGTGAGCAACAAGGCTCTGTTGCTGCAGATTGAGGCACCGTGGATTGATCGGGGTGAAGGCATGGGCACGGGCATGGGGGATTGATAAGGAAAAAGCAGGCATGGTGGCGTGATAAGGGAAAGCTCATGGGCATAGTGGGAGGTTGATGAACCAACCATCAACAAGCAAGAACCCTCTTGAGGGAGGCAAAGCAAACGAAAGCTGGGTGGCACGGGACGAGTTACGCCAGGCTTGGTCTGATGAGGAACACAACTAGAGGCGAACGGCAAGGCGTAGGGCATGGGGCGTGGGTGAGGTGTGTGGGGTATGGGATATGGGGCATGGAGCATCGGGAATGGGGCAAGGGGCATGAGGTATTGGGCATGGACTATGGGGTATGGGGCATGGGGCATCGGGAATGGGGCAAGGGGCATGAGGTATTGGGCATGGACTATGGGGTATGGGGCATGGGGCATTGGGAATGGGGTAAGGGGCATGAGGTATTGGGCATGGACTATGGGGTATGGGGCATGGGGCATTGGGAATGGGGTAAGGGGCATGAGGTATTGGGCATGGACTATGGGGTATGGGGCATGGGGCATTGGGAATGGGGTAAGGGGCATGAGGTATTGGGCATGGACTATGGGGTATGGGGCATGGGGCATCGGGAATGGGGCAAGGGGCATGAGGTATTGGGCATGGACTATGGGGTATGGGGCATGGGGCATTGGGAATGGGGTAAGGGGCATGAGGTATTGGGCATGGACTATGGGGTATGGGGCATGGGGCATTGGGAATGGGGTAAGGGGCATGAGGTATTGGGCATGGACTATGGGGTATGGGGCATGGGGCATTGGGAATGGGGCAAGGGGCATGAGGTATTGGGCATGGACTATGGGGTATGGGGCATGGGGCATTGGGAATGGGGTAAGGGGCATGAGGTATTGGGCATGGACTATGGGGTATGGGGCATGGGGCATTGGGAATGGGGTAAGGGGCATGAGGTATTGGGCATGGACTATGGGGTATGGGGCATGGGGCATTGGGAATGGGGTAAGGGGCATGAGGTATGACCGTATTGGGCATGGAGTATGGGGTGTGGGGCATGGGGCAAGAGGCATCGGGGATCGGATCGGGCATGGGGGGCATGGGTCATAGGGCATAGGTATGGGGCATGCGGCATGGGGAAGGGAACTTCATTCCAGGCATTGGAATGTCGTGGAGCTCACATGCATGCCATGAGCCCACATGCATGCCATGAGCCCACATGCATGCCATGAGCCCATGCAACCAGCACTTACCACGACTGCCACCACCTAGCCTGCATCAATAAGCCTCGCGCCTCTCGGCATGCCTCTCAACAGCAACGATGCCCTTGATCACAAAAGCGTGGATGATGGCCTGCGCCGCCTGCACCTGGTCAGCAGAACCCACCACCTCCAAACACGACCCATGCCAAGCCTAACCCCATGCAACCACCACTTACCATGCCTGCAGCCTCTTTCTGGTCCCGGCATCAGTCAGTAAGCCTCGCGCCTCTCGGCATGCCTCTCAGCAGCGGCGGTGCCTTTGATCACAAACGCGTGGATGATGGCCTGCGCCGCCTGCACCTGGTCTGCTGACCCTACCACCTCCACCACGCGCTCATTCTCGCCCTCCTGCCCCTCATACATGCGCACTCGCGCCCCTGATATCTGCATGGGTGGAAACGTGCGAGGTCGGGGGGACGGGGCGAGGGGAGCGAGTGGTTGGTAACAATGCAGCACGTCCTGTTGGTTCTCGGCCTCCCTCCCCTCGTACACACGCCAATAACCGATAACAGGCCTTGTCAATAACCCACTTGCTCCTGCTCCATCATTCCCCACCCCCCATTGTGCCCCCTTCCCCCCTCGTACGCTTTTGATCTGCTGAATGTTGGCTCCCCCCTTGCCAATAACCGCCCCTGCTGCCACAGCAGGCACCGTCACCAGCGCCGTCATCACACCCCCCCCTGCCCCTGACCCACCACCACCAGCACCGGCACTGCCACCACCACCAGCAGCAGTGCCACCAGCACTAGCAGCAGCAGGAGTGTGAGTGGGAGGAGGCGAGGAGAAGTGGGCAGGCGCGGGTGCAGAGGCATGTGAGTAGCTGCATACATAGAACGAGAACAAGGAATGAGGAGGGGGATGGGAGGGGATGGGACGGAAAAGGGAGGGAAAGTAAGAAAGAAATGAGGTCGGGGGTGGGAGGGTAAATAGGAAAGGGATAAGGAGGGGGGTGGGAGGGAGTTGGAAGAGAAATCAAGAAGGGGATGAGGAAGGGGATGGAAGCGGCACGAGGAGGGGGATAGGAAGGGGACCTCATAGGCGAAATTGGGAGGGAAACTGGGAATCGGGGAACCAGACTGGGCAAGTCAGTAGAGACTAGAGAGAACGGGCAGAATGGGCAGACTGGGCAAGTCAGTAGAGAATGCTGTGTGGGATGAAGTACATGATGCGGTATGGAATGCAATATAGGGTGCAGTTAAGGATTCTCAATCTTGGGACTCACTTGGCATAGTCTTGCGCTGCTGCTGGCGCCACATCCCAGCCAGAGCCCCTGAGGGAGGGGGACAGGAGGACAGGAGAGGCAAGGAAGAATGGGTGAGGCGTTACTTGGAAGCACAAAGACTGCAGAGAGCGGAGGTGTTACGTGGGAGCAGGTGTTACCTGGGGGCAGGTGTTACCTGGGGGCAGGTGTTACCTGGGGGCAGGTGTTACCTGGGAGCAGGTGTGTGTTTCCTACGGGCAGGTGTTTCCTACGAGCAGGTGTTGGCGTTACCTGGAAGCAGGTGTTACCTGGAAGCAGGTGTTACCTGGAAGCAGGTGTTACCTGGGGGCGGGTGTTACCTGGGAGCGGGTGATACCTGGGAGCAGAGTAGCCGGAGTCATGGTAGGAAGGCTCCACCTTTGGCTGCTCAGAGGGGAGAGGAGTGGGGTTGAGGGAGGGAGGGAGGGAGGGAGGGAGGGAGGGAGGGAGGGAGGGAGGGAGGGAGGGAGGGAGGGAGGGAGCGAGGAGTGAACGCGAGAGGGAGCAAGGGAGAGAAAAGAGGGAGGAAGGGAGGGAGAGGAGGGAGGGACGGAGGAGGGAGAGGAGGGAGGGAGAGGAGGGAGGGAGGGAGGAGGGAGAGGAGGGAGGGAGAGGAGGGAGGGAGGGAGAGAGAGAGGAAGGAGGGAGGGAGAGGAGGGTAAACATTTACCAGTTGAGTAATCAGTGGAATAGCCAGTGGGGGGAGTGAAACAGCAAATTTTTGATTATAAGACCCTCACCTCACACATGCATGCATCACCTCACCACAACAACAATGCACCGCTTCACACCGCAACCCACCACATCCCACCGCAGTGCACCTCACCTCGTACGACCACCCAACGGTGCCATCAGGGCCTGCAGCAGAGAGAGTAGCCACTATGGCTGGTGGTGCCCCTGCCGCCGCTCCTGCTGGCGAACACCCGTACGCCCCATCCCCTCGACTGTTTGACCCAGGATAGCCGTACGCCCCTCCCCTCCCTGACTCTGCATAACCACCCGCAGCAGCACCAGCAGCACTACTAAAGCCACGTGCACCACCAGCAGCAGCACCACGAGCATCGGCAGCAGCAGCGCCTTTAGAGGCAACGGCGGTTTCCCGGCCTCGGATGCGAGCACAGATGAGGCGCAGGGCGTGCGACACACAGTGGGGCTCGCCTGATACCTGGTGGGGGGGAAGGTGGAGGGAGGGGGAGGGGAAGGGGTGTGGAGAAGACATGGAGACACACAGTGGGGCACAGATGAGGCGAAGGGCGTGTGACACACAGTGGGGCTCGCCTGATACCTGGTGGGGGCGAGGGGGAAGGGGGGAGAGGGGAGGCATGGAGGCACACAGTGGGGCGGGTGACACACAGCCTGATACCTGGTGAAAGAACATGGGGAGTGGGAGGGGGAGAGGAGAGAGGGTTCGGGCTGCAGGAGAGGAGTGGACATGCAGGCCAGCGGGGTGTAGGCAAAGAAAAGAGCTGATGCAGCAGCAGCCGCACTCACCACACACACACCATCCACCACCCATCAACACCCATCACCCACCAATCAACACTCACCATTCATTCACCCTCCCACCACTCACCACCAGCACTTCATCACTCTCATCAGCGCATTTAGGCAGCTGATCCCTGGGCGGGATGTTGATGCGTGCCCTGCTCGTGCTGCCGTTTCACTCACCACCCACCCACCACCACTCACCACCCATCACCCACCACCCACCACCACCACTCACCACCCATCACCCATCACCCATCACCCATCACCCATCACCCACCACCGCTCACCACCACTCACCACGAGCACTTCATCGCTCTCATCAGCGCATTTAGGCAGCTGGTCCCTGGGCGGGATGTTGATGCGCGCCCTGCTCGTGCTCCGTAGCTCGCTGATTATGCTGCCACCCTTGCCCATCACACACCCCACCTGGCGGCAAGCACAAGAGGCAACAACAGGGAGGGGTGAGTAGTCGGCACACGGCAAAGAGACTGATTTGAAACTGCCAGACAGTGACTGCTGTTTGACCGCTGCTACTCCACTCCACTCACTCACCCGCCCCTCCATTCCTCTCACTCACTCACCCGCCCCTCTATTCCTCTCACTCGCTCAACCGCCCCTCCAGTCCTCTCACTCACTCACCCGCCCCTTTCTAACGAGCAGCCGGGCAGTCACCCCGTGGCTGTCCCGCCCGCCCTCCACTGCTGCCCCTGCCGCCCTGTCGCCCTGCATGCACGCGTAACAGCGCCTCCTCTCGCCCACCTGCCTTCCCATTCCTCCCCTCTCACTCACCTGCCCCTCTCTCCTGCTAATCCGTTAACGATTCCTTCCTTCCCCCTTCTCAGCAACTCACCTGCCCCTTTCTAACGAGCAGCCTGGCAGTGACGTGGCTGTCCCGCCCGCCCTCCTCTGCGGCGCCTGCCGCCCTGTCGCCCGCATGGTGCTGCGAGATGGCTGCATGCACGCGGAACAGCGCCTCCTCTCGCTCACCTGCCTTCCCATTCCTCCTCTCGCTCACCTGCCTTCCCATTCCTCCTCTCGCTCACCTGCCCCTCTCTCCTGCTCCTTCCTTCCCCCTTCTCAGCAACTCACCTGCCCCTTTCTAACGAGCAGCCTGGCAGTGACGTGGCTGTCCCGCCCGCCCTCATCTCCTGCGCCTGCCGCCCTGTCGCCCGCGTGGTGCTGCGAGATGGCTGCATGCACGCGGAACAGCGCCTCCTCCGTGGGGGAGTGGCCGGAAAATGGCGCCTGGGGTGGGGTGAGGGGGGGGCGGTGGGGTGGGGGGGGTGAGAGATGAAATTGTCTGCATGCACTGAACGCGGAACAGCACCTCCTCTGTGAACGAGTGGCCGGAGAAGGGCGCCTGGGAGAGAGGCACACGGCGAGGATAGAGGAGAGCAAGCGAGCACGAGAGATAGATAGAGAGGGTACGGGGGGAGGGAGTGAGATGGCCACATGCACGCGGAACAGCGCCTCCTCTGTGGGCGAGTGGGCGGAGCAGGGCGCCTGGAGGGAGGGAGAGGGGGGTGGGGTGGGGGGCGCGGGGAGGGGGGGAAGATGAGAGAGTGAAATAACTGCATGAACTCGGAACAGTGCCTCCTCTGTGGGCGAATGAGCGGAAAAAGGCGCCTGGGATAGAGGCAGGCGAGGACAGAGGGCGAGTAAGCGAGCGTGAGAGATAGAGATGGTGGCGGGAGGGGGAGTGAGAAGGCTGCATGCATACAACACAACGCCTCTTTCATGAGTGAGTGGGCGGAGAAGGGCGCCTGAAAATGAGATGACGAGAGGGGAGGGCGAGAGGATGAGAGGGGAGAGAGGGACAATGATGAGAAAAGAGAGAGAGAGGATGCGAGAAGGAAATTGACACACTTGGCTTTGCATGCATGGGCTGTCTGTACCTTAATCAATCTATATCAATCAATGAAAGGACCATTCGAGAGGCTGCAAGAAGCCTGGCAATGAGAGGAAATAAGTGAGCAATGATCCCACACACGCAAATAAACACCAAAATACCAGCTTCCAAATCGAAACCCCAAACCCACCTCCATGGCATCGATGATAACGATGCGCTCCTCGTTTGAAAGAATGCACAAGAACCAACTGACCCGTCCAGCAGCCAACGAGTCAACTTGTCAATTCACCCACCTCCATGGCATCGATGATCACGATGCGCTCATCGCAGTCCGCCACGGCCTCTGTCACCTTTACTCTCGCGCCCGTCTCCTCCTTTATCTGCCGCGCACGCCAGCAGTGCAAGCAACCCATGCACGCATTGCAGCCAGTGCAGCCAGTGCAACCCATGCAAACCACGCAAGCAGTGCACCCGGGCAAGCAAGCAATCGAATCAATGCACAGAGGGCAGTGAGTGAGGATACAGAAGCCATGTTGGATCCGAACAATCACATCCAAACAACGCTCATATCGTAACAGCTGGCAAGCTGTCACCCGTGTAACTCCCATGCTCCCTCCTCTCTCCCATGCTCCCTCCTCTCTCCCATGCTCCCTCCTCTCTCCCATGCTCCCTCCTCTCTCTCATGCTCCCTCCTCTCTCCCATGCTCCCTCCTCTCTCCCATGCTCCCTCCTCTCTCTCATGCTCCCTCCTCTCTCCCATGCTCCCTCCTCTCTCCCATGCTCCCTCCTCTCTTCCATGCCCCCTCCTCACTCCCATCCACCCCGCTCTCTCACACGCCCATGCACCCTCCACATTAGCACTTCCGTGTTTCGTTACAGTCACACCCACCCACCTGCTTGATCCTTGACCCGCCCTTGCCAATAACGATCCCCACTCTATCCGCGGGGCACAGCACCCGCAGCTCCATCTCCACAGGCGCCCCCTCCCCCGCCCCCGCCCCTCCCCCGCCTCTCCCCCCTCCCCCCATCCCCCCATAACCGTGCGCAGCTCCTGCTGGCGCGCCCGCGCCCCACGCTCCCCCGAAGGGGGACGAGGCAAGTGCGTAGACTTGAGGGGGAGCGTAGGGGGAGTAGCCTTGCGGGGAGTAGCCTTGCGGGGGGAAGGCCGCAGCTGGGGCGGAGCGAGAGGGGTACGAATCAGCTCCGCGGTGGTAACCCGACGCCTGGTAACCAGGCGACGGCTGGTAACCAGCAGGCTGGTGGTAACCAGACGTGGGGTGCATGGCGATGAAGTTGGGGGGGTCGCGAGGAGGCGAGCGACGGAGGCGAATAGAGATGAGCTCTAGGGCTTTCTGGACCACAGGATACTCGCCTGTCACCTGCCACGTGGCAACACGGAATTGGACAGGGATTGGGACGAGGATTGCGACAAGGTTGGGACGCGGATCAAACCCTTACAACACGGGCATTTTTGCGACAGCTGGTATCTACAAGGTGGTTTTCGAGAATGATTAAAAACCAGCTCGGATCAGACCCTTACAACACGGGAATTTTGGGACATATGGTATCTACAGCCGTGACGACCGCGCACCTGCGCTAACTCGACAATGTAGGCGCCTCTAAGACCGCGTACCTGCACCAACTCGACAATGTAGGCGCCTCTAAGACCGCGTACCTGCACCAACTCGACAATGTAGGCGCCTCTAAGACCGCGTACCTGCACCAACTCGACAATGTAGGCGCCTCTAAGACCGCGTACCTGCACCAACTCGACAATGTAGGCGCCTCTAAGACCGCGTACCTGCACCAACTCGACAATGTAGGCGCCTCTAAGACGGCGTACCTGCACCAACTCGTCCGTGGGCAGCGCGCAGGGCGGCAGTTTGTCCTTATTGAAGATCCTGATGTGCGCGCCGCTGTCCTGCCGCATGCCCGCGATGATCGAACCGCCCTTCCCCAGAAGACACCCGATCTGACTGCTCGGCACGAGCAGCCTCGCGGGGGTCCCTCCGCTATTGGCACCTCCGTTACTAGCACCACCCTCTGCCCCATCCTTGTCGCGAAACTCGCGATTGTCGCCATCCGCGTCGGCGATTCTCGCGTGCACGCGAATCAGGGCTTCCTGTGCGACGGACCAGTCGTCCGGGCGATCCACAGCTGCGTCGCCGCCGGTCGCAGAATCGCCGCTGCGAAAATTCTTGTCGCTACGAGCGGAGATGATTATAACGCGTTCGTCCGTGCCGGGGATGGGATCCGCAAGCTTCAGGCGCGCCCCGGTAGAGTCGCGAATGCTCTGAATGATCACGCCGTGCTTCCCGAGGAGCGATCCGATCCGCGCCTGGCGGGGTGAGGACCAATGGGGTTGAAGAACCAACGGGGATGGGGACATGATGGGTTTGCGGAGTCGAAGGGTTTGGGGAAAAGGGGTGGTTGCGGACCGAATGGGTTCGCCGAGAAAGAAATGGTCTGGATAGGATGCGGGTGCGGAAACAACGGCACTCGACTACGCTTGTGAATTACTCTGAGATCCTGAGGCGATCCCCTATGGGAATTCCATCGAGACTCGAATGCTCGGAATGGTCACGGCGTCAGAATAGAGAAAAGGCGAAAATGCTGATTATTGTTTAGGAAAAACAACGATGGCAGGGCGCGCGTTTGGTGGGAAACAGGGGCGGTATCCGGACGCGCGGCGAAAATGCAGATTATTGCTAGGCGGAAACGATCATGACTCCGACGCCATGACTCTTAACGAATGGCTCTACCGTCGTGCCTGGGGGCAGAGGATGCGGAAGATGACGTCCATGTCGCTCCGCTCGTCCCGCTCTCGCCGCTTCTCGCGGCCGTTCTCGTGGTCGTAGTCGCCGGCCCGCTTAGACATGCTGACCGCGGTGATTCAGAGGCTTGGGGAATGGACTAATGAACTGAAAAGATTTAGGAGGTTCACACTTGACATGCAAGGTCGTTACCCTGGGACGAAGCAGCTGAGCTGACCTCGAGTTAGATAGATAGATTCGGTAGATACGTCTGAAATGCAAGCCCAGCCTCGTCGTTCTACATGCCGAACCTGGATAGATAGATTCGGTAGAACCTACAAAGATCTGCTAAAAACGGGGTCATGCTGTATGAAGGCTGGTGTACAAGTAGAAACCAATGTTAAAAGCTAAGAACTCATGAGGGATTCAACATGAACATTTACAGCCATCAATTCATACAGTAGACTACCCCAGAACACCCTCTACCAGTTTATCACGTAGAAATTATACAGTTAATATTCATATTCCATGCAAATTGTTTAATAGTCAGAAGCATATTCTTCAACTAGTATCTAGACGTAGGTGCACGTGTCACCATTTTAATAGAAGACTATTCAAGAGTTTGATTTATCCATTCAATCTAAAAAATGTAGATAAACCACTTGAAACCGAATTCAGTTACGTTTCTCTTATCGGTGTGCAGCAAGCTTTTGCTGGCTTCCGAAGAATCTTCACGCCCCCCACCGCTTCTCAATCACGCGAGGCAATTAATTGTGGATTCTATTTTTCAAGATCTCCCCACCAGCTCTCGTGGAACGTACATGCGAGTGATTGATCTCTGCGGTTCCAAAATTGGGCAGTTCCGTACTGTACCCAAACCGAAAGGAGAGTGCGCGTCTACAGTGAGGTGGGGAGGGGACCCTTGTCCGTTTCTCGATTCACGGACATTTGTCCGTTTACCCTGAGGTTCAGGGTTAGTTTCAGCTCAGCTCAGCTGGTTTTTCCCGGTTAATATATCTCAGCGGACAAGCGAGTTCGACCCGTTTCCGCTGAGAGATTCCAGAGACTAAGGGCCGATGACCTGATGTCACACACGAGCTAGGAATTTACCCTTAGTCGTGTGCAGAATGGGAAAAACGCTTCTACTCTCTCCTCTGCCCCTACCTGTCGCTTCTGTTGATCAAGGGCTCACAACACAACTGGTCCACCTCCCTCGACTGCGTTTTCTGTCCCTCCATCCCATCTCTCCCACAAACCCAACGCCCCACCAAATCCACCCGTCCACTCCACTACTGTACCCGACTGTGGTGCATTCTCCACAACAACCACTTTCATTCCAGTCACACTGACGTGACTGGTGCCCCTTTATCCTAGAATGCTACAAAATTCGCAACATGGATTAGGAAGGTGACATGGAGCTCTCCTTCAGAATAAGACGCCAATATTGATCGAAGCCACGTGATTGAGATCGACCATTGATTTGCCTCCTAGATTTCAGACGCCTATATGTATCTGCTTCAGTTTCCGAATTCCCAATATAGCATTCCTCTTCAACAATCTCAAACGATAAGGTTTCCCTCATCGTTGCTGACCCGCGACCTCTCCTCTGACCTCAAATATCAGCTCAGTGAATTCGACTCTTGCAGTTGCGATCGCTTCGACAGGTGACATGGCTTCAATCAGCGCCATAGCTGCGCGGCAATTTTCCTTCAAAACCCGCACAGCCATGACAGAGTCCATAGAGAATGATCCCGTTATCGTCATGCTCCCTGACGGCTCCGTTCGCTTCTTTGACGACTCGTCGATCCAAATCGGCGAGCATCTAACGGCTCAGACCGTCCTATCCGAGTACCCTAACATGCACCTCACGTCGGTCGTATCCGTCGTGTCTCCAGCCACCCCTCTCGTGCCGGGCGAAAGCTATTTCCTCACGCCGAAGCGTGCTGCCCCGAAGGCGACTCGCGGCTCTGTTTCTCGCGACGGATCGCCGGCTCTTCCGCCGTCGCGCCGAAGCCTCCGAGCCGGCGCCTCGAGTGACGGGATCCCGCGCAACGTGCAGCGAGATGTACATGCGACGGTCGAGTCCGTTACCAGGATCTCATCGCCCGGGTGCAGCAATGCGCGAAGCGAACTTGAAGCGAGCATCGCCGAATCGGAATTTGGTTTCCCTGCACCAACATCATCACAAAAAACAGGTTCGGAAACCTGGATGCGTTCGGTTGGAAATCTGACGGGCTGTCGGAAATCTGACGGAAAACTGTGGGAACCTTCCGTCAGAAATCACACTACTGGATCGATGGTGTTTCCATCTGATTTCAAGTCAGGTTTCTGTCGGAAAAGTACCAACAGATTTCCGATGGTTTGCTCTCAGAAATCCGACAGTTTTCCGAGCAGGTCGCGCTTCGGGCGAAACTGATTGGCACAACAATAAATATGATAAGAAATTTACTGTAGATACAATACACTATTCTGTGCAATCATGTTGAGTGGTATGCATGATGGAATCCTTATTATTATTTCACTAGAATTTATAGCAATATACATTTCAAAAAAATCAAAAGTACAACGAATTTCATATAATTTATTGCGGTGCTGTAATATGGTTTTTAAGAGCGAGGCTTGTCGTGTTAAAAATAATAATCATTAATTTTGCAGTACATAGAATAATCTGACTAACCGTGCCAATACCTCTAGATGGTATCTTAAAAATACCACAGAACAAGTTTTAAAAGAACAGATAGGCAAGGCAGCACCTACTAGTACACGGAATAACATGCAGACCTTGCCGCTGCAGCAGCAGAACAACAGAACGCCATGGTAGCTGTTGCAGCTGCAGCAGCAGAACGGAAAGTAAGGAGAACATTGAGTCACGTTAAAAAAAAAAAGGCTGCACAATTCCCACGGACATACTTACGTGCAATGGCGTTACCATTATACACTTCGTACCTCGGGTACAGCTTGAAATTATGGTCTGCGAAATCGGCATACAAGAAACATGTAAGTCGACAGTTAACAATGAAATGTTCAGGGCAATGAGGTATCTGAAACACAGAAGAAAAGCAACAATCGCGCCAGTCGTGTTGCCGATCTTTCCACAATTCCTCAGTTCTGCATCAGTAAAAAAAACAAAAGCGCCGAAGAGGTGTGTAAGAGCGCTTCCAAATATCGATGACTTGAACATACAACGAAACTACGTACTAACAGCGTGTCCTTGGGCAACATTCGTGAAGTAAATCGACATTGAGAGTGGTGAGGAGAAGCAAGAGACACCAGTTACGAAGCGTAGGGACGATGAAAAGTGAGGAAAGGAGAAGAAATGAACGGGGAAGTGAAGGTAGGCAGCTCTGAAAGAGGACGGGGGGAGAGGTCGTTGAACATGGTGCGCCAGCCGCTGTTGCTCTTGCCCCGTCAGCAGGGCAGGTTGGCTTGCGCAGTCGCGCTGGCTGTTGCTTCTGCTGGGTGGGTTGTGCCGTTGCGGGAAGGTGAGTTGCGCCTGCACAGCGCTGAGGTCGCAGGTGCGCTGGAGGTTGCAGGTGCGCTGCTGGCATTAGCAGCAGCTGCGCAGTTGGCAGCTCCACATTTTTGCAGTCCAGCGCAACTGCGCTAGGTGTGGCACGGTTGCGCTGGACTGAAGCAACGCGCTATGGTACGGAGCGCTGGGAAACAGCGCTGGGTGTACAGCGCGTTATGGTACACCCAGCGCAGCTGCGCTGGGCAAACCTGTACACGCATTGCCAGCGCGCAAAGATACAGAGGACCAATCACAACAAGTGTAGTCGCCAACAAGGTAAGTCTAGTAAACCTAGACCAATTACAAAACACTAATCCGATGACGTGTTTAGAAATGATGTGCAACAGCAATGTGCATGAATGACCAACGCGATGGCCCGTCGTTACTCTCTGTTGTTTCCAGATTGCGAACAGTGAATGCGACACATTAGGAAAAGCTGGTACAAGCTCATAGCGTATTTCAAGACCCAACTTCTTGTTCTCAGAAGTATCACAAATAGTTACGAACATACGCGGTTTTTACACTTGTGAACCGTTTCTAGCCAGACCTAAGACATTTTCACTTGGATTGCTGCTATGTTATTCTTACATTTTAAAAAAAAAGTTTCATACTCATTCAAGTTATGTTTCATGAGGAATTTCGAGAGTAATCCTTGGTCTGACAGCGCCGCAGAGGCATATGTGCGGAGATAACTACTACAACGGGAGCTGGACTACGAGGAGGCAAAGCAACACTGACTACATCAGACGCTAGCATGCAAACAGGTTTCTCGAATGCCACGTGAATGACCCTGAACATCCAAACACTTACTTTGTTCATAACACTTTGAGTATTATGAACGTTTGAAGTATCTAAAGAAATATTGTTAAAAACAACAATAAGACCTCGAAACGACACAGCATGTCGCATAGGCCTATGCTTGCACAGTTTTCCCTGCTCGATTGTTTGCAAAAGCACATCTTCCTACTACGTGGTACGAATGGCCCAAAACTTGTCTAGCATGCTTGTCATATAGAAAATGTATGACAACAGCCGACGAATGCGCAGCAATGCAAGTCGTGCCAATCGTCTGCGCGCACCTGCGAGCGTGCGCACTACTGTACGGGATAACGCTGGACAGCCGCC